ATTTTTGATACATTGAATGTCTCTAATTTACCTGAAAGATTTGACACCTCAAAAATGCTCAATTTTGAGGACAATAATGGATATTGAAAAAAATCATAACATGTTAGAAATCGCTCAACAACAAGTACTGGTTCAGAAGACAAATCCATAATGAGAATGTTTCTAAGCAAAAAGAAAGTGTCTTCAATTTTAACACAGTTGTCTCCATTATCTATGGAAAAAAATATACCTTTAAAATTAATTTGAGCAAATTGATCACATCTAACTCCATTTGGCAATGGCCCAAGACAATGTTTTTTTTTTGGAAAAGGATAAGGCTTGTCAGTTACAAAATCTTGAGATGAAAATAATCCTTTATCTGAGACTGCTCTTTCTGATAACCTCTTGACAACTTGTTCTAATGGTGTCTGTGGTTTGCGAACAAGTTTCTTCAACATACCCAAAAAATTTTCGAATGGAAAAGCACTGAAAGAATCTAGTGGTCCAAAATTCTTAACATCTGCTGCCAAATGTGTGAGCCCATGCACATTATAAACCAGAAATTCTTTACCATAAAGTTCTTTAGCTTCTTCTACAAACATACACAACAGTTCATGTGCATAATCAACATGACTGTAACATAAAGTAGGACTAGCAAGGCAATAAATACCAACAAAGAATAAAAGGTAGTGACTATAATGTACTTTGTCTATATTTCCTTTCAATGCAACTATACCACTGTATAACAAAAACTGCCTAAACTCTGTAGCTTTCCACCTTTCTATATCATGCAGAGAACGGCATTTTCTAGAGAATTCACGTGGAATATATTCTTTGAAGAGTAGTAGACGGTTTGATATCTGCTGGACAGCCTGATTTCCTATTCTAAGGCCTTTTGAAACTGGACTCTTAAGCCAGAGTAAAAGAATTCTTCTTGTAACCCCTAAGCACACTAAATGCATGTAATCTAAAGGAAACTGAGTGACCATGCCAACTGACAAACTAGTCAAGGGAGATAATCCATGAAATTGATGATTTTCATCTTCAATTAAATCGAAAGCTTCATCTGAACGTAATGTTGCATTTATTTCAGGAAAGATGACTTTTTCAGCCCACTCCCCTTTTTGACAACATTTATCACAGCCCCAGTAACCTGAATGCCCTTTTGTTTTCTTAACAAAAGACCGCGCTGGAGCATCACATATAAAACAAGATATACACAGTTTAATAGGAAAAATAGAATCTTCGTTGTCTTCAAATCTGAGTGAAGTGGCACCTTTCTCGAGTACTTGCATTTCATTCACAAAATCCGTTAAATATTCTTCAATGCTAACTGGTTTGCTATCTCCATAATACAAACCAATAAGGAATGGATCAGATTCAAATGGTTTACAAATTCTTCCAAGAATTGGCCAAAATTGACTGCATGAGGATTTAAATAAAGGCAAACCATCAAAATTAATTTGCAAATGGATAACTGGAGTCTCATTTGGATGAGAATGTAGAAATTTAAATAAATGTTTCGATTTTGTTAAGCAATTTTCAATTCCAAAATGGTAGTATGCACCACCTGTAATAGCTTTGACATTTATTTTTCTAGGAGTTTTCAGCAAAGTTCTTGAATCCTTTGGTAATGAAGGGTGGTAGGTGCACAATAAGCACAGTAAGGCACTAAGTGCATCATTTTTTATTTGAAAATCAATAGCCCACTTTCTGACTTCCTCTTGTAAATTATTTTCATAGTTGTCTTCTGGCGATGAGTCTGCATCTGTCTCACAATCTACATCCGACAGAATATCATTTAAATCTGTATAATCATAATTGCTAGTATTATCATACATGTGTTGCTCAGCGCCAGTCTGTTGATGGTGAGCTTCGTTTCTAACTTCTGAATAACATGCTTGGTGACCAGTTACTGTGACTGGTGTTGATGAATAATTTACACTGTCAAACTCATTGAGAATAGGCTTCTGATTACTACTTTTATAAATAGGCCTATCATACTCATAATCATAATTCCTGTGCCTGCCTCTGACAGAAACGTCATGTACTGCCCTTATACAGTCAGCTAAATCATTACTAGATTCTAACCCTTTTTCGGGTAGCTCTCCAAATAGAACATTTAGATGGTTCTTTCGTTGAAAACATATTTATTATTTAAAACAATCACCTAGCCTGTTACTGTAATGCCTAACTATGTAAATAGACTTCCTCTTATTTAATGACAGAAAGTGTTTTCTACACCGCAATATGAATTTATGTACATTATTCTCCTCACTGTTGAAAAATAAGTCAATAATTGGTGCAATACCTGTTGATGCGACAAGCTCACCTGTTGTCGGATAATCTGTTATCAATAAAAATTGACGATGTTACCTGTTGATTAAGTGGTTTTAAGTCCTTGAAAGGATTATTAACAGAATCCAAACGTCGGTAGATTAAGCGATGATAAAGACGAGGTCTTAGTGCCGCTGGCTTGATACAACAAAGGCTCTGTTGTTGAGGGAAATGGCGAGCGAAGAATGGCAAGCAAAGACCGGCGGGATGCTGGCTTGATAACAATAGAAAGGAATGTGGACATAGAATTTAGGCCGAGATGCGATGGACCAGCGTGACGCTGGACGGGTAGCCACGCACACAATTTTAAAAATATTAAACAAAATGTTTAAAACACGCAACATAGATTGTAGTTAAATCTAATTTTAAACTGAAGTATTATATTTGATTTTTAAACGTATTTCATGGAACATATATTAAGTTTAACAAACTTATTTAAATAAAATTGCTGCAGTAAATACATAAATCATTGTAATCTTGGCAAGCCAGGGTAAAAACGGTTAAATACCAAGGTATCAAGGGAAGCTATTCAAAACAAAGGGACGCAAGCACGTACAAATCTTGGCCGTATCCTGGCATAAGCATGGCGGGACCTTGGCCAATTTATCGCCAAGATAGCGATATTGGGCCAACCTTGGAACGACATTGGGTTAATAAATTGTGTTAGCTGGGAAGTGTTATTAGATTGAGAGACGGAGTGATACAGTGTGTGGACCTGTGACAGTGGAGGTCTGTTGAGATTCACCTAATTATCCCAACTGTGATTAATCATGAAGAAATTAAGTGTTAGAATCTTGAACCTGCGGTCAGAGTGTGCTTCTTTATATCAGGTGGGTGGATCGGTGCCAAATGAGGTGTCCGCGGCCTAGAGGCGGGATTTGCTAAGCCGCGGGCGAATAGCTTCAGACAGCGGTTACACGCCTCTGTCGCGTTTGAGTGCCGTGAGAAAGGGTTGCACAAGACCTAACAAAGAACGTCACACGTCTGCTGCTTTGGTCATATATATGTATATGTATATATATATATATATATATATATATATATATATATATATATATATATATATATATATATATATATATATATATATATATATATATATATATATATATATATATATATATATATATATATGTATATGTATATATATATATATATATATATATATATGTATATATATATATATATGTATATATATATATATATATATATATGTGTATATATATATATATATATATATATATATATATATATATATATATATATATATATATATATATATATATATATATATATATATATATATATATGTATATATATATATATATATATATATATATATATATATATATATATATATATATATATGTATATATAGAAATAGACAGGCAGGCAGATGAAGACAGACACAGACAGACATAGACCGACAATGAAAGACAGACAAGATGCGAAACGTAGGTGTAAAACGTCGAGCTTTGTCAAATTCTACACTTCGTAAGAAGTATCTAGTCATTCAGAAGTGTTTTTGGTGCTAAACATACATTAACAATTTTATTATGTGTAGGCCTCCATGCAAGCCGCAAAATATTCTTAATCTTTGACTAAGCTAAATTAAGTCATAGATTTAAACTTTAATGTCTGATTTTTAAAAAATATGGAAATGGCATACTGGAAATGAAAAATCTGGCACAACTAAACATGCTTCTTTGAAATATATCGATACTAATATTACACAAAATCAGAAAGGCCAATTCGATCTTTAGACTCAGAAAGCCATTCATTAGAACCACGACCCGTTTGTTTCCATAATATCTTTGCTTATTTCTAGATATAAAAGCATCTAGATATAGATTTAGATCAAGATACGGTTTTAATGTTAGGGAGGGAAAGAGGGGCGACAGTTCGGATGTTGTAGCTTACTTTTGGGTTGGTTAGCGTGTAATGTTTTATATATCGCTGTCCACCTATCCAATTTTTTCGTGTCATCCAAAAGTTATTTTGCTAATTTAAATTTAAAACACCTATTCCTTTCTACCCGTCAATTTGAATTGAGCTGGATCGGTATCGGTACGCTTTTAAAAAAAAATTACAACTAACAACGAAAATCGAAAGATGTGAAATATACGTTAAAATACAATGTTTTAAAATGTTGATGTTTGGCTTCTGATGCCTATTCCTGGTCACTCAATTCCTATTCACCAGTGTTTCTTCCAGACTTTTTTCTTCGGGGGGGGGGGGGGGGGGGCATTTGAAATTTTCGGGGGGGACACTAGTAAAAGTGTATGTTTACTATATAAAATCCATCTCGTTCGGGGGGGGGGGGGCGGTAGATGCCTGGGAGAAACTCTGCCACTCACACGCCGTGTGTGTGACATCATTTAAATGATATAGGAACGACAACTTACAATTTAAAAAAAAAGCAATGTCTCACCTCCCCCCCTCCCCCCCAACACACACACTGCTATTTCGGGTTTTTTATAGAAACATGCCTCAATACAAGTAAACAAGTAGTCACATCATGGCATGTAGTTTATATAGAAATCTACTTCGTAGATGCTAAAATTATTGTTTTTGTATAACGTGTTTTCGCTTTTTATTAGATCTAGTATCCGAACTGAAAGGAACCTGGAGCAATTGCGATAAAATAGCGTATCGATACTTTTCAGAAATCGTAAATTAACTTCCTTTTCATTAATTCTTGGACGCCATATTGAATAATTCTTCGTCGTCCAAATCTAGTTCTCCACACGAAGATGTCACGCTACTCAAGACCGCCAAATTCTTCTCTATACGTTAGAAACGTTCCTGACGGCACACGGTATTAAGTTTTAGTCATTTTGATTATTAATTTTGTGTTTATAATAACCACAAAGCAATGTCTACGATGAAATCTAGATTCTAGAGAAGTTCTAGACTAGACTAGATCTAGAAAATCTAGATTAAGATTCTAGAAGTCTAGAGATCAGACAGACAAGCTTGAAACCCCATAATCTTTTTCACGCTTAATTCACTTATCTCAATTTCTTGCATTTTATTATCCATTTCAGCTCTTTTTAGCATCTGTTCAAGCTTAAAGACTTACAATTTTGAGTTTTTGTCATTTTCTATTAAGGAATTTTTTGTTGTGTTATATTTATAGCCCTGAAGAGCTGAGAAGCATGTTTGGAAAGTATGGACCTATCACAGATGTCTACGTTCCTTTGGACTATTACACCAGACGCCCTCGTGGATTTGCATACGTGCAATATCCTTGTTACACATTATTTAAAGCCAGCAGAAATTTATCAGATTAAACTTTAAACTCTCTACAGCCAAAACTTTTATTTGGTTTTAAACATTCAACCGTTTGTCATGCCATATTACCTTGGCAAGTTTTTAAATATCTTTTAAACAGTTGTTGAATCTTTGGAAGGTATTAGCCCATCTAGATCTATCTATCTACTGTAATAGGGAAAGTGTTAAGATTTCACTTAGCGAATGGGAAGGGTGAGCTATGTAGGCCTACTGTGCTCTTAGTGAGCAAAAAGTTTTGCCTAAACTAGTCAACAGAGTGGCCTCATTTCCTTAAACAATACTAGATCTAGTTGAAATGTAACATTAATTACTTTTCCTTTTTTTATCAGAATGCCAAGTGGTTTCAAAGTTAAAGCACAAGGCAAGTCATTCAGTAGTTTATTATGGTCCGATCAAGCCCACAAGACCAAAGTCTTAAACAAGATCAGAGTTTATACATATGGTTCAAGTAGTTATGTGGTCGGGATGAAGAAAGGGAATGGGAATAGTCATTAAATAAAGAAATTAACAAGCAAGTTACAAAACTTCAGTCTTTTAATAACAAGCAAGTTAACAAGATACAGTATTAAGAGTAACAGATTTCAAGCTTTCAAGCAAGACCAACAAGTCATCATTTTGTCTTATATCCTAAGGTTATGTGAGTAACTTGTTGTAAACATTACAGCTGCTGGGTGGAGGGGATAAGTTCCATGTCTAAAGAAGAATATTCTTTTCTTTGTTCATGTAACTATAAAAAAAAACTAGCTTGAGTAATTTCATTTACATTTTAAAAATTCTGTATATTAAGTACTTCTACATTTTATAGAGATTCTCTGATGGCTTGTTTTGTTATTATTTTTTTAATTCTCCGTGACATTTGAGTAGTTAATCTACTTAAAGCTAAGCGGTTAGGATCCTTGATTGCGTGTGGGTTTCTTTTCATATTCTGTGGGCATTTTTAGACACACCCTGTTTTGTTTCTTAAAATGACATTTCTTTGAAGGTATAATAAACTCACTCCTTAACTAGCTCAAATTTGAAGACCCTCGTGATGCAGATGATGCATTGTATCATCTTGATCGCACACGATTTTATGGAAGAGAGTTAGAGATTGAGTTTGCTAGAGGAGACAGAAAATGTAAGTATCCATTGTGTTGGGGTTAAGCTTTGTGAATGTTTTGTGTAGGCTCTTTTTCTCACTTTACTTTTAATTCCTTTTTCTTCTCTTTACAGCCCCAGGTCAGATGAGAGGTAAAGAAAGGTCGTCACGTCGCTCTCCATATTCCAGATATGATGATTATGATCGTAGACGCAATCGTTCTAGAAGTCGAAGCCCCAGGTAAAGCTATGAAGTAGATATTGCTAGAAGTGTATCTGTAACTGTATTTTTTTTTCAGACATCTGCAGGGTGCCCACCTTGAGCATGGTAAACATTTTTTTGCATTAATTTCATTTATTTCAGGTACAGATCACTTTCACGCAGTCCTTATTCAAGTCGGTAAGTCTAAAGGTTTAGATTAAGCACTTGGATTTGTGTTTTTCAATAAGTCTAATTTGTGCTTGACTGTCATTCAACTATTTTTTATTTGAATACGGTTAAAACATAAAACTTTTGTTCTTTAGATATATATTTTTCAGGGTATTATTTTTTAGGGCCATTTTCTAGAAGCTGATATTTTACTACTTGTTTCAGTACTTCCCCCTACCCCCCTTATTCCAGAGCAATGAATAAATAACCTAGCAAATCTGTTATCATATTTGAAAATTGGTTTAGCATTCACCATATATTTCCTTTTTGTTTTCACAGTATTTATTTCAGCTTTAGCTGAAATTTTTTTCTCCCGGTATTTGAAGTGTTAAAAATAACTCATTTGTTTACAATTTTTGCTAATTTCTTTCCCTAATTTATACTTTCAATCATTGACATGAATCAACTTAGTTTCTATTATTTATAAGGTATATGATTAGTATGGATTGATTGCTGAAGACTTAAATCAGCTAAATATTTTGCAACTTTTCTTTTACAACATTAACCCAGCTTTTCATTATTTCTGTGACAAATTGTAAATGTGTGTTGTATCTATGAAACTACCAATATTCTCTTTATACATTAATTTACAATAATTTTCTGTGAATACTTATTTATTACAAATGTAGTATCAGACTTAAATTTCTTTTGTTTCAGAAACAGATCACACTCAAGGAGTCCTTATAAAGGCAGCAGGTGATAGTTTTGAATTTATAAGGCTTATTTTTATTTTAGTTGAAATATTTATTCGTCTCACTGTTTTAATATTTTTTACCTTACTCATAAAAGTTATTGTGTTGAAATAAACCAAATTGATGGTGTTTTCTAAGACTTATTTTCTACATTACCTATGTAGTGAGTTTTTTCATCTCTACTTACCACAATAATAATTTTGTTAGCAGTTGTAATTATTATCATGGTTTGTCATGGAAGGTTAATCATAGCTCTAAATGTAATACAATTGGGGCTTTTGTGTTTCATATTTTGGTTTCAGAGTTTAACCATTACTACCAAAATGATTGTTGTTGTTCTCAAACTTAGATTTTACCTTTTTTCTGATTAGACGCAGTAGGACAAGAAGTCGTACACCTAAAAGAGAAAGGTAAGCCTGATTTTTCAGTTCTAGTCATATGCTTTGCAACAGCACCTTCTTTCAAGTCTCAAAGGCGCATTGAATTTTCAACACACTTCAATGCTTATCATTTACCTTTTTTTACAATTGTTCTATTCCAGATGTTTTTGGGTCTCTCTTTTTTGTAGTTTCCATATGTCTATCTTTAACGCATCTGACACTAACCTGTTCACTATAACATTGTACACACTCTGCTAGTATGAACAAAATCACCTTTGTGTACTCTATCAATCCACTATATATTTATTATATAATAATATATATATTATTATGTATATATATATATCGTATATATAATATTTATATAATACTTTCAGCTGCATTTTACATTAGAGTTAGTAGCAGTTTGGTTAGATTAGAACTCCATATATTTTAAGTGCTACGCACTAGGATGTACATCTACTCAATGTTCTGCTAATGTCAATGCTTTCCCCATCTCTGACATAACTTTTTCTCCATATTCTCTTTGATATTCTCATAGCTTATCCTGCTTGCATTTATTAACAAGTTTATTATAGAATTTGAAATTATTTAATTTAAGGAGATCCTACAGTCATTCCAGAAGTAGATCAGCATCATATGATAGAAAGAAAGAAAATGGGTGAGTTTTCTATATTGTTTTTCCTCAAACTGCATGACAACTTGTTCGTGGGGGGTCTAGACAGTAGTGTGAACATACCTGGTTCCAATAACTAGGATCTAAGACATCAACTGTTTACATTTAAATAACTCATTATTTAAAAAACTAGGTCACACGTCTGAAAATATTGGTAACACATTTATAATTGTCAGCCTTTCTACTGAGTTTCAGAAAAAAAACGTGATGGGTACATTATATATATTTATATACAATTAATACAGCTTTTTTTAATGATATATTACATTTTTGTTTAGCTCAAGAAGTCGATCAAAGACAAGATCCCCTGCAAAATCAGATAAAGAGGAAAGAGAAGATTCACCTGCGGAATAAACATTACCTTTTTAATTCATTTTGTAACATTCATTTGCACATATTCATTTTTTTTAAATATAAATGTACTGGTGTTCTTTTAATGTTTTAAATTGTTGATTTTGAAATGTTGCATAGTGTAGATTATATCATTAATTTTAGTATGGAGATTACTTATTATTGTAATTTTTAATTAGGTTAAGATTCAAATAGAGAACCACACTTTGCCAGATTAAAGACCTATAATGAAACAGTTTTGTATTGAATGATTTTAGACAGCTAGATGTAAGTCAGGAAAGTTGTATGCTGAAATACATGGTTTTGAGCAGCTGGTTTTATTTTGATCTACATGCTATTTGAGAGGTGTGAAAACTTACATTAAGCTAGCTGTACTGTTCCATTTTATGTGGTTATAGTTATATTGTAAATACAAAACAATTTCATCAAGATAATTTAATTTATGAATTATTTCTTAATTGCACTCAATTAGATCAAAAAGTGTCTTTATAAAGTACCATGACTGAAGGATCTCTGAATTATTTATTATGATTTTATTAAGTCTAGTGTCTAGTGACTGCATCTAAAATATTGTAGGCTTTGTGATCGGAATAGGCTTAGTTTCAGAAATGTTAATGTATTTCAATATAGCCTATGGTACTTAACATCCACGGTCATTGACTAAGAATTTTTGACCATTTGGATTATTCTGGGTTTTCCAAGACGAAAGCCTGCAAATCTTTCAAATAAAATTTTCAGCTCTGCTTTTTGCAATTTTTTTTTGTTCTTTGTATTTCACTACTTAGCTACAGGTGTGCTTTAACATGAGATTGTGCTAATTTAAGAGGAAAAACAATTACAGCCTCTTGTTGGCGATGCACTGCGATTTTTCAGGGTAAATTATTAACATTACGGATATTCTACTAAGCCTGTACTCTTGAAATTTTCGGGGGGGGGGGGCGGACACTGTTACATTAGTAAAAGTATATAAATTTCGGGGGGGGGGGGGGGGGGCTTCGCCGCGCGGCTTTCCCCCCCCCCCCCCCCCCCCCCCCCCCCGAAGAGATGCCTGGAAGAAACTCTGGCACCGGGTGACACTCGACACGCCACTGCCCCCTGGAGACGTTGAGTTCAGTTGTTTTTTTTTATCTATAGACCTATTGTAATAGGCCGATAGCATACGTATTGCAGGAACAGCGATTTGAAATTGACTGAGACGTCATTTTTATTTTTCCCCCTAACAGTACCAGGCACGTAGGACTTGCGGTCATGATGTCACAAAAGCCACCATTGCTGCAAGGGGGGACGGGTTAGTCTAGTCCTTATAGTCACCATTTGCAAGGATTTCAATATTATTTTGAAATTGCGATATCAGGGAGTAACTAGATTCGGGCGGGTTATAATACCGATGAATAAATTAGGCTATATCAATAGCTAGATTACAAGGCTTGGGAGATGTAAGTTTCATTTGAAGAAAGGCATTATTTTAGATTACTTTTTCCCGTATTTTTGATAAATATTTAATTGAAAATATCAGCGGAAAATTTGGACTAAAAAATGTGCGTTCTGAAAAATTCGGAAATTGGCAGAAATACTCTGTCTTGACCTACATTTAATCTTATTCGTCAGACCTTGCGCAATTGTCCAATTGAAAAGAAATGCGCATATTCGATTGTCCGTTTGATCTAAGTACTATGATTCTCGATTTAATTATTATTAATTACGAATATGTGGAATGCGCATGTCGGCCGTTTCCGTAGATGCCATTTCCATTTTCCACCCTAATTTTAAAAAATCGAAAAACGGCGGAAAAATCTGCGAAAATGAAACGGAAAAATCGGTTCCCTTACAAATCGGAAAAGTCACATCAATTAATAACACTGAAAATTGTATTTAGCATCCCCTTTCACTACACCTTAACTCTTTTAATCAAAAATTTAAATATTGGGTAATGTACTGCTATAATTATAATGCATTTTTTAGCGCAATTTCCATACGGACAATTGCGATTATTAAGTCGTTATTTCTGGATGGATGGATCTGTGTCCGCAATGGATGGATGTGTGTCCGCAGCTTTAAGTCGTATCTCCTCCTCAACGAAGCAATATCGAGGACTAGTTCCAAAAGCAAATATGTTAAGCAAGTTCCGAGGATGATTGTGGGCCAAAAAAATTCCCGGAATTCCTTCCTGGATTTCCCGGAAGAGCCAAAGAACCTCGAAAAAATGCAGTTTTTTGCCCATATCTCGGCAACCAGACCACTTAGTGACTTGAAACATTTACCAATCGATTCCTGCCATAATTTAGAACAATATTGCCGAAGAAAGTTTTTAAAAATATCCTCTCGTTCGGTCACAAAAAATTAATTAAGAAAATTGCGCTTAAATTGTCACTAGACTTTTTATTAACTTGTTTTAGACGAACCCTTATCATTAATGCTATTTGTACTTCAACCTAAGATCCCTTCAGTTCCTAGCCCAAAATCTTGATAGTTGCTATACTTACTATAAATTCTGCCACATAGCACTTGAAAATATCTTTTTAAAAATAGCATTATATGAAATTACCTTCCATAAAAATATTTATTCCTATAATAAAAGGGTGGCCGGAAGCGCAAACGGAAAAAAGCGCAAAGAGAAAAAAGCGCACACGGAAAAAAGCGCAAAGAGAAAAAAGCGCAAACAGAAAAAAGCGCAAAGAGAAAAAAGCGCACACAGAAAAAAGCGCAAACAGAAAAAAGCGCAAACGGAAAAAAGCGCAAAGTGAAAAAAGCGCAAACGGAAAAAAGCGCAAACAGAAAAAAGCGCACACGGAAAAAAGCGCAAACGGAAAAAAGCGCAAACGGAAAAAAGCGCAAACAGAAAAAAGCGCACACAGAAAAAAGCGCAAACAGAAAAAAGCGCAAACGGAAAAAAGCGCAAACGGAAAAAAGCGCACACAGAAAAAAGCGCAAACGGAAAAAAGCGCAAACAGAAACAGAAAAATGCGCAACTTGAAAAAACACAACGAAAAATGTGCAAAAGAGAAATTTAGCACAAAGACCATATGGACTAGATGACACATTTATACATGACTGTTAGGGCTGCTGTGAGAGTGTCGACATTACACGGTAGGGTATAATAAATGGTGGGGTTAGGAAAGTTAAGGGGTCCATTCTCTAATAGGCAATCTATGTCTCTTTCGTACTTTCGTGTTGGTTTATTGTCGAACCTGTCCTCACCTTACATCACAACAGTTGGGTGACGCTTACCGTGTAATGTTAAAATAAATAGCATGTAATTGAGTTAGTTCGAAGTGAGTTTTCATACAAGCCCAACGCACTAATTAAGGTTGTCGCAAAATGTAACATATATGTAACAAATGTCAATGATGTCAATGAATTTTCATTAAAAAAATGATGTCTAGTACAGTTTACGAAACTTACGAACTTCGCCGATACTTTTTTGGTGGGTAGTTTGGTAAGTATGTAGGCGGGTAAGTGGGTAAGTGGGTAGGTGGGTAGTTAGGTAGGTAGGTAGGTAGGTGGGTAGTAGGTAGGTAGGTAGGTGCGTCATGATGTGAAAAAATATTAAATACAAAATTGTTATTTTGGTGCGAATGAATGTTGTTACGAGAGATATGACGAATGCATGTTTGATGACGCGGATGAAAGAGAGTGAAGTTTTGCTATAGGAACGGGTTGTTATAGTATGCAAGCTAGGTAGTTCGGACTAGGGAGAATGTGAAAGATACTTCGTGTAATGTCGATAGTTTTTTGTTTATACGAGAATAGTAGTTGAATAATTATTGACCACGAAAATAATAGGCATTGTGTAAAGTGATTATCGCCTGTATCGTGGTGATGGGAATGCAGATGGTAGTGGTACGCTTTAAATGGTAGTAGATCACGTGATCAAACACGACACTCTCACAGCAGCTCTAACAGTCATGTATAAATGTGTCATCTAGTCCATATGGTCTTTGTGCTAAATTTCTCTTTTGCACATTTTTCGTTGTGTTTTTTCAAGTTGCGCATTTTTCTGTTTCTGTTTGCGCTTTTTTCCGTTTGCGCTTTTTTCTGTGTGCGCTTTTTTCCGTTTGCGCTTTTTTCTGTGTGCGCTTTTTTCTGTTTGCGCTTTTTTCTGTTTGCGCTTTTTTCCGTTTGCGCTTTTTTCCGTGTGCGCTTTTTTCTGTTTGCGCTTTTTTCCGTTTGCGCTTTTTTCTCTTTGCGCTTTTTTCCGTTTGCGCTTTTTTCTGTTTGCGCTTTTTTCTGTGTGCGCTTTTTTCTCTTTGCGCTTTTTTCTGTTTGCGCTTTTTTCTCTTTGCGCTTTTTTCCGTGTGCGCTTTTTTCTCTTTGCGCTTTTTTCCGTTTGCGCTTTTTTCTCTTTGCGCTTTTTTCTGTGTGCGCTTTTTTCTCTTTGCGCTTTTTTCCGTTTGCGCTTTTTTCTGTGTGCGCTTTTTTCTCTTTGCGCTTTTTTCCGTGTGCGCTTATTTCCGTTGCGCTTTTTGATTTGCGCTTTTTTCCGTTGCGCTTTTTTCCGTTGCGGTTCTTTCTGGGAACCAATAAAAGCTAAATAAAATAAACTGGGAGTGATCTCCCCTAAACGTTCTCGAATGTAACACTACAGGGGATGTCAACTCGGCATATAGACAATATTTTAAATCCATTTTTAATTACCTAAAAAAGAATTGCGCACAAAGTGAACTCCAAACAATGTGTATAATAGTGCGCAATGTTATTGGTACTTTATAAATTCACCGATGTTTTTTGAGAAATCGGAAATAGTGTAAATTACTACTTTTACTTATGTGAAATTTCGTTCATCTATCTGAAACAGTACTCAAGTTATACTTATAGGCTTTTGAAAAATTGAAAGTAGAATAAGTTCCACTTCAGGTTACCGGAAATTGCTGAAAAGTTGATACAGAACTACAAATTTGATGTTATACTTATTAATGAAATTTCAAGCTAGACTCTAGCTGTAATCGTGTATACAGACAAGATTGGAGAATTATGTTTTTCCGATTCAGGGAGGTGCAAAAATCTCAATTTTTTTTTTTTGCACGATTACAATACTTTCTCTATACTTCGTATTCAAGAAAGTAAAGTAAAAATAATGTTGACTGAAAATAAGAATGCGTTTAATTTGTATTAAATGCTGGAATTTCTTACCATGGAATTAATGTCTTTTAAATGTGTGTAGTTAAAAATGGACAAAAACAGTCTTTTTTTTAAATTGAAGTTTAATGTAAAAACATTATATGGTGATTCACTTGAATGTGCAAATATACCAGTTACCAAAAAAAAAAAAATTAAAACATTTACATTATTTACACTTGCATTCTGAAAACCTTACAATAAATATACATTTTATTTAGAACATGAATTTGTGAAATGCAAAGTATAGAAATAATTTTACTGTTGGTGAAGTACCACTAAATCTGCAAATGTATGGGCATTAACAGTATTGTTTTAGAGTTACGAAACTCCAGAGATGTGTACATTTTATAACACCATTCTAAACAAATTTTAGAACTAAAAAGTCGTATATAAACTTTTAAAAAAATACATTGGGAGTTTCCTTTTTAGCTTTAGTGGTAGCCCACGGAAAATGGGCTTTAAAAAATAGTAGAAAATCATCACTGAGCATGAGGGAAAATATTTTTATTTTAAATTTTACATTAGGGCATGAACAGGAAAAAAGTTACCTAGTCAGACTTGACATTCTTTCAATTGTGTCAAAACTTTAAGCATTCCTGCAGTGTTTGAATAGTATAATGCAGAAGAGGCAATTAAGTAGCTTCTTTAAATACAGCAGTTTCTTTTTCAGATATTTTTGGCCGTAATTTTCTTAAAATTAACCTCAATTTGACCAAAAAAAAGTCCCCTTGGGAATACATATTGAAAAGTTTCAGATGCGAAAGAAAAAAAAAATAACTTAAGATGGTACCTTTCAGTCTTTACAAACAGCCATTTCACAAAAAAAACAAAATATATGATTTGATACAATAATGAATGATACATGTATGATACATCTATTCTTGTTTGATCTCTGCCTCAGTCAGTGGCGTATTGGTTGTAGGTGTTGTGGTAGCTGTTGATGGTTGGGGTGTGTTCTTGTCTCCACCCCATGGACTTTGTTGAATTGCAGGTGAATTGTGAAACTTGTCAGCATTATCATCATTATTTGTGGGCTCAAACTGTGAGTTCTCGAGTCGTGTGATAAGGCGTTCATCCTCATCTCCAAACTCACCACCCATCAAAGTTGGCTCACCAACAACCATAACATCCTGCATAATGTGTATAAAATATAGCTACTGAACAGATGATGATGTGAATATACAGGTGCTTATTGTATTTATAGAAGATAAAATGGTTTAAAAAATTAAGCTAAGTTGGTGAGAATCACAAAATACTTGCTATATATGTATGAAAAGAGTTACAAGACTGCCAAATTAAAGGGACATACAACTGCCTATGAAGTAATATTAAATGTTTTTTGCATTTTTAGCAGGATCTTTCTATGTATAATAAAACTATGGCTCAGAGGCTAACAAAACTACAGATACTTACGCCAGGTACAGTAGAGCCCAAATTAAAACCTTGAGGCCCTGGTGAACGCTTTTGTTTCCCTGATGGTGGAGCATCCCGGTTATTCATGTTTCCTGTACCTGCATTGTTTCCAGTAGAGCCTTTGCGCTTTCTACGCTTATTAGGCGGGCGAGCAGATTCTATAACAGTAAAAAAAAATGTAAAACAATATATGACACAAATTCAAACAAGCTAGGACAATTCTTTTAATATTATGAACATTTTATCCATTATTTCAAAACAAGGCAGTTTCTACAATTAGTAGTATTGCTAAAAAGATCTCTATTATTTCTACATATACTGCCCCTAACAATTGTCTTATAACTTGTAATAAATTCATACAATTTTTAAAAATATGCATGCAGTTGAAAAATAAAATCTTTTGATATTACCGTCAAAAATTAGTTATGCGTTAAAAAAAAACAACAACAGAATGATAGGCAGTAATACTTATACTTGGGACGATGCTTGCCTTTACCTGGCGGCGCCACCATTCGCTGCCATTTTTGAAAGAGAGTAGTTTTTAAACAATCTCGTGGATTTAGGCCATATGCTTTATGTCGGGACATCAACTCCTGCATAGGTTCCAATATTACACACAGCTGAAAAAAAAAAAGAATCGAATGAGGTATCTTCCAAAATGAGAATAACTCAAGTAATAAAATGTCAAGTTGGTGATAAATAAAATGAAGCTTACCCTCAGGAAGTTTAATGTATAATTTGTCAGACCCATTCTTGTGATATTTTTTGAAAGCTGTTCCACCATTGTTGGATCTTGCTAAACATGCAAAAAAAAAAATGGTAATCAAAATTATTAACTTAACATATAAGGGGTTGGTTTAAATAAGTGGAGATTTGCATTAAAACACTGCTGTAAGTACAGCATTTGATGATATAGAGTACATCAGTGATAAATGCACCAGAGTGAATCATTAGTGTTTAGAGAATGTATTTCTCTCCTGTATTAACTATGTAAACAGTAGGGTACAATGAATTATTTTTAGCTTATTATATTGTTTTTAATAGATGTAGATAAGAAAAAGTACAGCTATTAAATTATGGAAAATTAGACAACAGATTAATATTTTCCTTTCACTGAAGTTGTGGTTGTCCCCTTTAACACTACCTACTAAAAAATTTTAACACATGAACACCAACCTGGGAGAAAGTAGAGAAGAAATTTTTAAATTCAAATTTCTATTCTGAGATATTAGTAAATGAGATGGTTACTGTTTGAATTAATTTTTAATTTTACTTAATGAATGAAGATGAACTACAAGTGGTATATATTTTTGCGAATTAACTAATTGTCTTTATCAACACTTTCCTTATCATTTGAATTCTGAACTAAGTTAAATGAAAGTCAACATGAGATTTATTATTATCCCCATCATCATCAAAAACTCTTTATTAGGAATGTGTGATTGCCCATCTTCAAGAAAAATAAATTATGCTGATAAATTAAAGTTGATACAAATAGAAATTAAACTTGATACAATGCTAGATTTTACCCTGGCTATAGTTACAAGGCTGTATATCCATTTAAACAGTACTTTTCAACAGCACTTTTCAAGCATGCTATCATTTTTTATGCTTCAAAATATATATTTTTAAAAAAACTACAGTATGTATGTTCAATTTGAATAGCTTAATGATTTACACATCATTTATAAAATTCTATCGAAAGGAACAATGTAAAATGAAAATCCACAGCATTACTAATATTTCTTTGTTGTTATTGAAAAAATATTTTTTTATTGTACTATATTATTTACAATTCAATCAAACCAGCTGATTCATCAACGGAGAAGTTTGAATTAAAAAAATGTGACGAACAATTTACAAAATTTAATTAGTCAGCTGAGACAGGTTGTGATTAGAATTTCCAAATTATTTCTACTATTGAAGAAGAAAGGTTATTTCTAACTAGCACCACAATTAAACAATTATTTCAAAGAAAATACTGTATAAAGTAAAGTGAAGTAAACAAACCTGCATGCCGATCACACTACGTGGAATAAGCTCTCTGTGCTGCCTTATAGCAAAATGCCATGAACGAATTCGCATAAGGTCATCAAAGGTAAATTCTAATATCAGTCGACCTTCTGTAATTACCTGCTGGCGCAAAAAAAATGACACTATGCTGCTTGATTTATTAATAAAGAGTAATTAATAATTTATCTTTAAAAAAAAAAACTATTGGAAAATATAGCTAATAAACCTACGTTTGTGAACATTGGTTTTCCATGCTGAGTGACCATAAGTGCATGATCACAATCCAATGTAATTGTTGTGTTGTGAAATGACTCCTTGGGATACTTTAACACATAATGCAAATCAGTAACTCCTCCTTCAAATATGCTACGAAAATATCGTGGTATTAACGTTCTTCCTATGGCTGAAATTGTAACAAAAAAATTTAAGAGAGCATTCACTTGTAATTCATAACCTTGTACTGAAATAGTAAATTTTTGACAGAATAACTTACTGTATCTCTTAGGACCATCTTCAAGACAAAAGGTTAGCGTAAGCTGAGCATCATCTTCAAAAAATTCAGTTGTAAAAGAATCCCACCACAAATTATCACTGTCCTAATACAAAAGAATAAAAACACTGTTAATGGGTAAAGTAACCACACAGCTCTATAACCTAATATGATTGGATGATTGTGTCAAGGAACTTCAAGCACAAAGTCTGGACAGCGTGTTGAGAAGGGCCAGATGTTGTCCATGTATCACTCTACTCTATACACAGTTGATGGACCCATGAGAGGGGCGTTACCTAAATAAGTTACCTATATCTACAGCCGGAGTTTCCAAATTGAAACCAGTAGTAATCTTATCACCTAAGGTGCCCCACTTTTATTTATATTTATTGAGTTTTCTCTACCAGATGAGTTATCACACCCAACTAACTAGCCTCAACTTCCAGAGGGTTCAATATTTACTGGCAAATAACCCCTAAATTAATAGTACAGCAAGTTGTATTTAATAATAAAGTCAAAGTTCTCTTATGATAGCATCAAAATTTGAACTCCTATAGTAGAATAAGAAGTAAACTAAAACAAAAGATGGCAGATTTAAAAGCCATAAAACAAGTGTTCAGTTCATGCATGTAAATTATATTAACATTAATTGATCTTAAATCTCAAATAAAGCTGGCTGCTTTAAAGTTAAAGATAATTATAAATGACACCACTGACTTTTATAAAAAGAAAAAGATCTCAACACACATTTCGCCATCTAATTTTTAGTAGTATCAAAGACATTTGCAAAGCATTACTATACCTCAGTGCGATGCTGCAGTCGTTTATTAAGCTCATATATCCTGTAGTCAGGTTGTCCCATGTAAGGTGTTGGACGCCTGGATTTTTATGTGCACATTTAGAAAAAAAATTTAATAAATCAACTGAATATTTTTGAAATGCTAATCAGAAACTATTGTAAAACTTTTAAAATTCTGACTTACGGTATCATGTGATCTCTGTCCATAAACATAGGCATGGGACCTGGCATAGGGCCTGGCATTGAACCTGGCATGGGTCCAGGCATAGGGCCAGACATTGGACCTTGCATAGGACCAGCCATTGACATTGGACCTGACATTGACATAGGACCAGGCATAGGGCCTGGCATTGGTCCTGCCATTGACATTGGGCCTGGCATCATTGGTTCCCTTGGACCTGGCATCATTGGCTCTCTTTCCATAGGGGCAGGCATGATAGGGGGTCTGGACATGAATTAAAACTAAATGAGCCTCTTGTAAAGCTGAGCTTAGAGATACCTGAAAATAAATAAGAATTCAAGAAACATAAGAAAGACACAAAAAATGTGCAGCATGTAGATAAATATACTATACTAAAAATAAAAACAATAAAGCAACAAAATTAAATGTTTTCAAATTAACTTTTTTTAAAGGCAAAAATGAAAGAAAATGAAAAGTAACTGCACTAGGTTATAGCTGAACCTCAGTAGATTTTGAAAATAAGGTTGATTTGTTGAATGTAAAAGAATTTAGGCCTAGGCCTATTAATTTTTAATAAATAAGATACAATTGACCCATTGATTTGTTGATTGTAAAAGAATATAGACCTAGGCCTATTAATTTTCAATTAATTAGATACAGTGGTAAAAACAAAATTTGGAAAATCATTCAAAAGCTTCTTTGGCAGGGCATTGGTAAATGGTGAGATGCGAAACAACAAGGCGGTAAATTGCGAGATGGGTGCCAAACCTCTAGTCACATGACATTTTTGTCTCGCATCTAACCCCCCCCCCCCCCATACTTACACTGCAAAAATGATACAGAACCCAATTTTCAATTAACTGTGATGCAGACACTTGTTTGTATTATTATTTTCTGTTGCTAGATGTGCGATGATTTATCCATTTCTTTATTATTTTGTGTAGAACAACAGAGCTTCCCGATATGGTATATCGCTTTTGAACATTAATGTCTTGAAGCTGTTGCAAACATATGTGGTATTCTTGTAAAGAAATTTTGTATTATTACTGCTGCCTACAATTTATTTTTTCATCATATAAGCCTAAATATAAATTCGATTTTTAAAAAATGGCTTAAAATTAAATTAAATTTTAAAACTTTACTATTCGCAGTGTACTCAATGTTATCTTGTTTTGATGATAAGTCAAGTTTTACAACATGTGCATGCATCAAGTGAAGATCGATTCCTCACGACAGCTGAACGTTACATTTTTAAAATTTTATCTAAAGCAAAATAAAACATAAATTTTACAAATTTAAATAGATTTAGCTAAACTGATATCATAATACACGTTTTAAGCACAGTTCTTTAAACAGATAAGTGTTTAGGGCTCCAGTTCTAATATAATTTACGACTTTTATTAGCAAAGGAGTCGGAAGAGTCTTGCTGGCGATGGCATACCGGTGAATCATGCAATGGATTACCCTTGGTTAGGGAGCTAAATCTTTTACTTTTTTCTGAAAGCTTTATTATGACCCAAACATAGATGACGCACCATCCATCTGTAAAAGCACCACAGCCGTTTTCCCATTTTAATCCTCCAGTTTCAAAAAACTTATTTATTTTCTCCATTATATCTTCACAAAATAGCAACTCTTCTTTGCTAACATCTAAATGAATATATTTCACAAAGACAAGCAACTGCGAACACGAACTCACGTCTGTTGATTCATGAACTTGAAAAGCAAACTGAAACAACGGTGAAAACTTGATTTCATTCAAAATTTGTTCGTTAACATCTACGGACAAGCCTGCTATAACCCGCTGAATAGTATTATTAGGCAGATTATATTTGTTGCATCTTTACTGCACTGGAATCCCCAATAATTAATTTCATCATCTTCATCATGCAGGGTTTGATGAGATTTTATCCGACTGTGTGTGAGGGTTTTTTTTTTTTTTTTTTGGCTTGGCTATTTCTAATGCTTGCACTAATGCTGTGTTTACTCTGTGAAAACTTCCTGAATGATCAAGTCTGACCGTTTGCAACTAGCTTCATGGCGACGAGAGAACTCCATATCTTTGTGGGTGTGTTCCGAATGACTCGTCTCAAAATGACTTTAACACTTTTTAGGTTTGAAGGTTTTATAGACATAACTGAGCACAACTTTGCACAATTTCTTCTCTATTCCATCTCCAGTGATTTTAGTAAAGCCGAGTGTCAGATATTCTTCTAAATAATAAATTAAATATGTAGAATCTAGTACTAGAGTGTGTAGTAGGCCTAGCCTATGTATTTTTTTAATGCTAGGGCTTAGCCTACCAGTTGGCGACCCCCCCCCCCCCCCCCCCAGAAAGCCCTTCGCGACCCCCAAGACCCGACCCCCAGTTTGGGAACCCATAATCTAGACTTTAGAATCTAAAGTTGCTAGATATCTAGATCTAGATTCTAGACTTAGTCTAGTCTACCTACTCACTACTGACTAGAGTAGAGTAGTGATGTAGTGTAGTGGAGTTGGAGTGTAGTGTAATACTGAGTGATACCTTTTCAAATTCCAGTAATAACAAAACATGTAGACTATAAAACTCTTGTTGTTGAGCTTTTTTTCATTAAACTGTAACATATATTCTAGATCTAATTATAAATCCATAAAAACGTCCATGAAATTTATTTAATTTTGGATGGGAATAAAAGGAAAATGGTGTCCCTCTTGTTTTACCATTAATTTATTGGTTCTAGCCAGGATTTAAAATACATTTATGGCCAAATACACACGTTTGCTAAATACAATTTCTAGACTTCCTAAACGTAAATATAATTAAATTAAAGATTGAATACTTTTTGTTAAATATAGAAAACTTGATAAAGTATATATTCGCCTTGTCATAAGCACATTTCTAAATAAATTAGAACGAATTTTATAGAAGACCATTGCGGCAGATTGACAAAACGTAGGCCTAGGCCTAATATCGATTTCTAATTTGCCCAGTGGCCTTCTGGTTTTTCACTGCGCAGAGGCGTCACTAGAAGAGTTGCACATGAATCCAGTAGTTTAAGTTGCACCCGTACCAACAACTAGATTCATTTAAACTTTAAACAAACTACATTGCAAAAAAAAAAAAACAATAAAGGCTCTTATATTGAGGTCTGCGTCTGGTGTCCATAGAGGCTAGAGGTTAATGAAGGCGCACCTCATTGCTTTGACGTTGGCGTCTGTAAATACACGTTTGTTACATATTATGATAGAACGGGTATGAGAAATCGCTCGAATATATAGTCTAGATCTTGTCTACCTAACTTAACAGTTATTCAAGGCGCCAAGAACAGCAAAAAAAAAAAGAATGAGTTAATAACGTGTTTATAGCTTAATTAGTATAGATGTAGCGGCTTACTTGTACAGTATGGCGTTAATATTTAAATACCAATTTGCTACGATCGACATGGATGACTACGTATATTAATTAAAATATGCTGATAGGTGTGAGAGCAGCATTGAGTGACCATGCGTGAATGGATTATTTTAGACAAAACGGCCCCGACACCACCTCTATATTAAGGTCGTTTTGTCGAATGTTTGTCAAAAGTTTGTTTTTAATGAAAAGTAACTAATTATACTGACATTTTGAGCAGTGTTTCTTCCAGGCATCTCTCCGCCCACCCCCACCCCACCCGAAGAAAGTCATTTTTATAAAGAAAATATATACTTTTAACAGTGTCCGCTCACACCCCCCCCCCCCCCCCCCCGGAAATTTCAAGTGCTACCCGGAGAAGAAATTCTGGAAGAACAACTGCATTCTGAGCCCACGAATCGTTGATACAAAGAAGCAACCAATTCACGACTGTCTTCCTTTTAGCCATTAAAGATATACAATGGTGATATTTTTCGTGAAAACGACCTTTGGCCAAAGTGGCTTTTGGGCATTTATCGCATTCGGGCAAGTGTCCATTCGGGCAAGTGTCCATTCGGGCAAGTGTCCATTCGGGCATTTGTCGCATTAGGGCAAATATCCATTGGGGCAAGTGTCCATTCGGGCATTCGTCGCATTCTGGAATTTGTTGCATTCGGGCATTTGTCGCATTCGGGCAAGTGTTCGTTCGGGAATTTGGCCTATTAAAAAAAAATTAGGCATCCAATTAAGTCGATTGCATTTTCATAAGGTCTTGATCCACGTGCCGAATTTAAGAGAAATTGGTTGGTTACAAGTGCTCAACATTTTGCTAGCCAGTTTCGATCTAAATAGACAGAAAGACAGACAGACATGATCGAGGATAGAAGCTTGAAAAAAAAGCTCCTTTTTCGAACCTGACGATACATGATGCAAGTGATGTAGAGTTCACCTGTTTCTGTGACCTCGACATATGAAGGGATGGCGTGTTAGGTACCCATTGAGGATGTGTGAACTCAGGGACGTTCCTCTAACTTAAACCCGGAATCAAACTCGAAACTCTCTGGTTAGCAGATCTCTTAACCGCTAGGCCAAAGCCCGTTGCCCGGGAGATGAATTACTATGGTGGTAAATTTAGATGGGGATACATAATCTGGGGTGGGTGCAACTGCAAAAAAGTAAGGGGAATTTTATTAGGGAATTAATGAAGACAATATAGGATAGACCTATGCATATAGTACTCTTACACTCTATTAGCACTATATGCCTAAGGGTCGTCCATAAATGACGTCACACTCGTAAGGGGGAGGGGGTCTGTAATTTTGTGGCGGTGTGTGATGAGGGGGAGGGGGTTCAGATGGTGTGACGTCACACTTTTGCATTATAAAAAAAACAATGTTAGAAAACGTATTTTAGAAGTTATTTCGCGTTTTAGAAAACTGTTGTAATATATATAGTAATAGGAATTTATTAAAATACTCTATTTTGACAGAGTTCAGCCAAGATTTTGGAAAAATATCGATGTTTAAAAAAATTCAACTGCAATTTCGAGGGGGGGGGTTGTAGGCTGACTTGTGACGTCATTTTAGGGGGGGGTCTGTTTTTTGTGACGATGTGTGACGGAGAGGAGGGGGGGGGGGTAAAAATCGTCAAAAAAGCGTGGCGTCATTTATGGATGACCCCCTACTCACTCTGTTCTCCCTTTGGCGCAACAATGGAATTGATGTATGCCTAATTACATTGAGAACTAATATAACAAAAGCCATTTTATTTTGTGCCAGTCAGGAATTCTATTTGTGGTGAACCCTTTTTATAGGGAGCCAATATATAAGCCAGATAGTAGAGAGCATTTTTATCCCTTGTGTCGGGATAGTCCTTGTGTCGGAAGCCGAATAATGAATATGAGCCGATATGTCACTGTAAGTGCTAATTTGACTGAGTCGTTTTTTTTTATTTGTCTAATACTAATAGGCATACATCTCATTATCTGAATCGCTTTCTAATGGTTTTTTGGTTACCGGTCGTTTTAGGCGCCACAATTTTTGTCATATCTCATGGGCTGTTTTTCTCTGTTATTTTTTTTGGGCGAAAATAAAATTGTTTAAGTGCATACATTAGTTTAGGCGTTAACTAGTAATGGATAAACCCAGAGTTTCTTCCAGTCATCTCGGGGGGGGGGGGGGGCTCTGAAAAAGTCTACCCCCCCCCCGAACGAGATGGATTTTATATAATAAACATACACTTTTACTAGTGCCCCCCCCCCTCGAAAAATGTTTACCCCCCCCCCCCCCGAAAATTTAAAGTGCCCCCCCCCCCCCCCCCCGGAGAAAAAAAGTCTGGAAGAAACAGTGGAAACAGTGGATGGATACTCATTGTAATGAAATAGTTTAGTTATTTTTTTTTTTTTTTTACTGAGATTCGAGGTGAAAAACGTGTTCATAATCACTCTAAAGTTGTTTTGGAACTAGATTAAGAAATCTATACTTACTATAAGAGTCATTGTAGAGGAGGGGAGGGGAAAATTATTATAACGTTTTTTGGAAGATCTGGGAATATTAAGTTTTTGGGAGATAACTCCCGTTTTTTTCGGTAATAATTTCGGGCGAGTTAAAGTTTTACTAAAATTATTGCATTTCCGGATATGTCACTTAAACCCGGAAAAGAATCAGGAAAATATTTATTATTCTAAAATGTTTTTTGTTAGGCCTATGCTATGGATCTAATATTTTAAATACCATTTTAATCGTAATTTAGCTAGATCTATGTTGAAAATCTAATCTTGTAAGTATGTAGTAATGTAGTAGTCTAATTATTAATAATTTAGAATTTAGTTTAACTTTAGGCTGGATACTGGATCTAGATCTAGATCTAGATTTCTAGGCCTACATAAAAATTAAATGAAAATGGTAATCTATCGTTTTGGGTACGTAAAATCGCCGGCGATTTGTAATGTGAAAAACAGGTGACTCCTTAAATTTTAATAATTATTTCACATTTTGAGGAAGATTTATGTTTTAAAAAATTCAAAAATGTTTCCTTGATTCATTTATGTACCTGTTTTTAAACAATTGAATTAAATCTTTTCCGTAATAAATGAAGACTAGCGATGTTTCCAACAGATGCAACCATGCTCATTTACTATAGCAGCCATCTTGTCTAAGTTTTATTTTTATAAGCTTTTAGCGCCAGATTCAGGGGGAAGCCACTCTATTTTACAAATGGCTGCTATTTATATAGCAAATCTTGCTCTCAGACACTGCTGTTTAAAGTTAATTTCTGGCCTATATCGATATATTTAGCCATTGATTTAGGTTTATTATTAGGGAGGCTCACTAACTTAAAAGCGTCCTTGGTTGCTAACCAGAACATGGCGTAAGGATCGGACCATGACTTCCGGCGAGTTTTTCGACTTAGTTCCAGAGACCTTCTTAGAATTACTTTTAAAAATGTTTATCACGAGTAAAATGGCGGGTTTTCACGTTATAAAAACATGCTATAGGTGGCAAGGCTAAATATGCCAGAAAAGCATTTTCAAAAATTGCTTTGGGGGATGTTGGCTAAATTTAAAGTCGGTGTCATTCAAAATAATATAACTTTTTAAATATAGATTTCCATATCACAAAATTGATTTCCACAGTAAAGCATTATTAGTTTTATCATTCTATGAAAAAATAAATCAAATATCTTCAACCGTTTTTTTATAAGATCGACCGAGAAATGACAACCAAATTTTTTTTATTTTTTTTGACCACGTGACCGCTATTTGAATGGATACGTTTACCTGGCATGGTTTTTTTTTTTTGCTCTTTTGTACAATAAAAAATGTCATAAAATTAAAGAAATAAAAGAATTCAAAAATCACTTCTGTCTTGTCTTTTTTTTTAATTCTTTTCTGATGACATTCTCTTAAATTTTTTTCCTCTAAAAATATTACCCGACGATAGACGGGCCAATTCTACTTTTAGGAACTCTCTTGTGAAAAAAAATTAGATCTATTTCACGGTCACTTAAAAAGTTAAACCTTTCAACTTTTAACCAGGTTGTCATGGATGATCCGTCATATCATAGCTGTGAGTGACAAATAAATTTAAAATTCAATAATTTAGTCTAAACTCGCTACAACCCCCAAATTTAGTGCCTAGAGGATAAAGTATGGACGTTTTTTATTCAGTTGTCATGTTTAAATTGAGAATTAAGTAGATTTCACAAATAGTAAGAAAAACTATTTATTATTCATTTATCTATAATATTTGACACAAAAGTATGACAATATACTTCTATTAAAGCCTTGACAATGAGGTCACGTTTTCATACATAAATAGCCGCGGGCGATTTTACGTACCCAAAACGATAGATTACCAATTAAATTTCTACTCAAGATTGACTACCTTGGACCGTGACTGATTCGATTGAGATAGGTTAAAACTCCATTTTACTTTTTTTAGCGTATTTTATTCCCGCTTCACGTTCACCTCCAGTTGAGCATATTTTATTATAAACACAACCGAAACACACAAACAAAAACGTTAAGAAAACACTAGATTGATCTAATTAATTATTAATTATTACTAATTATTTTTTTTTTATGAATCAGAATGTGATTAAGTGATTTTTAATTAGAAAAGGTAAAAAAAAACTTTAAAAAGCATTAGAACTGTTCCAATTAAATATTGTGTGGTCGTCAGCGGGAGAAAAATCCTTACATGGTCACGGGTTCACCGTGAGTTCACATTGACTTTAATTATCAGCATACGTCATAGCTCGGGCAATAGCTGTTTGTAATTGTGTTGGCCTCAGTTTTGGGGTCATTGTAAGTTCATAAATGTGTATTTATAGTATCATGCCTGGGAGATACTTGTAACAATACAAACTTAACCACCTTGCAATTGTGAGTTACGTTTACGTACTTCACCCATTGCCATGATTCATGATTCGTGTGTCAGAATTTTCATGGCATGAAAATTCTGACACACGAACATAGCACATTCAATATTCCAAATTTGGACTTTTCTCAAGTTTTGACAAAAGTAAATTATCAAAATCTAAAACAAAGTCAGTCTCTTTGTTTTTTTATTCATTTTTATTCATTTGTTAAAACAAAAATACAATACAAATAAATAAATCATGTTTTCCTAATGTTTTGGTGTGTTTTGGTTATTATAATAAAATATGCTCAACTGGAGGTAAACAAGAAGCGGAGAATAAAATATGCTAAAATAGAGTTTTACCTTGAGATAGATCTAGGCCTATTCAAAATAAAATATTATAATAATAGGCATATTTAATTTAATAATAATTAAATAATAGTAATAGGTAGCCAAATAGGTAGGCCTATATAAATAATATATAGGCCTACAGGCCTAATTAATTAGTGATTAAATAGGGCCTAGGCCTATAGTATATTTTCTCTTACTCTACGCTAAGACATAAAAACTAATCAATGCTAGATCTAGATTATTCTAGATCTATCTATTAGTATCTACTGTTAAGTAACTATTACTATAGACTCTAGTCAGTCTAGTAACATGTAGGCCCTACTCAAAACTTTGCCAATTATTTAGGCCTAAAATAAAATAATTTTTTTTTAAAACCTCATGACCTAGTTAAGCCATGATTGTTGTCATTTTGTGTGATAAAATGTGTATATAACCAAATTGATTTTGCCTTTTTAACTTTTTAAATATTGTGTTTAGTTATCAAAAATACTAGGGCAGCGTGGTTGTATTTTTACCTGACAGTCTCTAGTTCTCAGGACCTGGCCAGAACTCCTACTCTATTCATGTTTAATCACAATGCTAATTACATAATTGTAATATTTGTATTTCAGAATAAGCAAGAGTTTTCTGCGATGAATTCTGAGCAGCCACACATTATTAGAAAATCTTCTGTATTTTATTAAATACAGTACTCCATAACAACATCTCATTTTAAAATGGTAACTACTCCATCACATAAAACTATATTAATTAACTATTTTAATTAAAAGATGCACTAATTCATGTCCATGAATGTTAAAAGTAAGACCATAAACTGATTGCGTATATGACCATCTGTCTACATACTCCATGTCATTGTTAAAGGATAGATAATAAATATGTTCATAGTTGGTATTGTCATTTTAGGTATTAGCAAAAGAATTGTTTTGAGTATATTGTCATCATAAATATAACATCTGCTCTTTCTTCAGCCTTATCATTGGCAGAGTCACAATGTCAAAACAAGTGGGGTGGATGACATGGTTCTGCTTCAGAAAATTTCTGAAGCAGGAATTATGGACAATTTAAAAAAGCGTTTCATGGATGATGTCATCTATGTATCCTTTTGTTATTAATTAATTACTTATATTTCAAATTTAAGTAGCAATTACAAGGTGAATTTTATACTAGTGTTAAGCTTAATTTATTTTTAATTTTGTGTACACAAAGCTCTTTAGATATAGTCTATTAATGTAATTTAGTGCCCATACTTAAATATTTAAACAGAGTGGCTGGTCCTTAATTATCTTCTCAGACATATATTGGCCCTGTACTTGTGTCTGTCAACCCTTTCAAAAGCATAAATATATATGGTGACAGGGAAATAGAAATTTATCAAGGAGCAGTGAGTGTCATTGTTTGGTGTTTTGTTATTGGACAATAGTTTGTAGCTAAAATTCTAACATGTAACACATTGTTTTATATAAAATTTAAAAAAAAGTGCATTTTTACTGCAAAGAAATATTAATTATTAATTTTATACCAGATTACATTTTTAAAGAAATGTTGATCAATCATTGGCAATTCAAGTCATTTTATGCATCATTATAGGCTCAATATGAAAACCCCCCTCATGTGTATGCCCTTACTGACAACATGTATAGGAACATGCTGATTGAGATGGAGAATCAATGTGTGATCATCAGGTTGGTAAAATTTTCATCCATGTATTATAAAAAAATATGGATAAATGCAGAACATACACAGACCCACATATAATATATATAGAATTAGATATAGATATAGATCCATATATATATATATAGATAGATTATATATTTATTGATGACTTAGATTATATAGATACAGAGATAAAGATTACAGAGATAGAGCTTATAGGTATAGAGATAGATATTTTTTATTCTGATTATTAATGTAGATATTTAGAAATTATTTTATAAATGACTGCTGAAGATTTTAAAAATATCACATTTTAAGTGGAGAGAGTGGAGCTGGTAAAACAGTTGCGGCTAAATATATTATGGGATACATTTCAAAAGTATCTGGTGGAGGTCCTCTTGTACAGGTAAGTTTCTCTTTCTCTAAGATTCTCTAATTGGAACTGTTACATTTTGATTATAGGTTTCACATGTTTTTCCTTAAATCTTGGTAATAGTGGCAGATAGTTTTTACAAGTGTTCTGTCTGTAAAATAAGGCCAATTAAAACAGCAATAGATTTTCATAATTTCATTGTTATTGGGCAATCCAGAAAAGATTCCATATTCCTCAAGTAGAGGAATAAAATGTTTAGACAATTATTATTATTTTTGTAATGGCTTGGTTGTTTGGTAGAGCACTTAATAGAAAAAAATAATAAAGTAAAGATTCCTCTTAAAACCTAGTGATCTATTGGGCAGATGAAGTAGAGTTCACGTTTTTTTTATTTTCAGTGCAATCATGCAATATTAATTTTTTATAATACTTACATATTTTAAATAGGAAAGAGTCGAGTAGTAAAAAAATATGAAGGGATAATGTGGTCAACACTATGCCCAGCCGCCTTTACTTTCGTGAGTTAGGCATCCATCAGAGCTGGGTGCACTCAGGGACGTTCCACTGTCTTGAACCTAGATTCAAACTTGAGACTTTTGGGTTAGAAGTCTAGCGCTGTACCGCTACTCCACAGAGCACTTGATAAACAACCCAAAAGTCTTGCATTTAGATCATGGTTCAAGTCCGTCAGATGTTCCTAAGCAAGTCAACTCTGAAATTTCCCATACCCAAGTTGAGGTGAATGAAGACAGCAGGCAAAGCAGTGACCTAACCATAACTTTCTTTCTTTCAAGTTATTTAAAAGAATCAGATAATTCTGACCACAGATCTTAATTTTTAAAGTTATTATAGTTAAAAGTGATCATTTTTCAGCATGTAAAAGAAATTATTCTTGAGTCAAACCCATTACTTGAAGCATTTGGGAATGCGAAGACAGTTAGGAATAACAACTCCAGTAGATTTGTAAGTTGGATTTTTTTTCCTGCACCAGTGTTCTTAGAATGAAATATGAGTTGGGTTTTTTAATTGAATAGGAAAATTATTTTGTTTTAAAAGAATTCATATATCATTTTTTTTTTACAGGGCAAATATGTTGAAATTCAGTTCAGCAGAGGAGGAGAGCCTGATGGGGGAAAAATATCAAACTTTTTATTAGAAAAGGTAATTTTTATATAATCAGTACAAAATGCTGTTTTTTTCATGAAGTTTCTTTTTCAGTAAGTGTCAAGTCTTTACAAAATGAAGAGTAAAATTAGTAAAAAAAAATTAATAATAAAATCCCTATGTGATAGCTGTAAAATAATTGATATTTTGCCACTTGTATATTTTCAGTCTCGAGTTGTCAGCCAGAATACTGATGAGAGAAGTTTTCACATATTTTATCAACTATGTTCTGGTGCCACTACAAAAGTTAGAGGTATGTTAATAATCACACATTTTTCTGATATCTGTATTCACAATCATTGTTAATTTTCTACAGCATCATTAATCACATGGAATTAATTTCCATAGTTGTTATAGTTTTATATTTTGATCATAAGACTATATTAAGCCTCTTGAAAATACATTTTCCTAAGTTGCTTCTGCATATTTTTAGTCATCAAAGTGACATAGTGGTTTGTTCAAATGTTAGTGATTCAAACAAACTTGCTTATTGTAAATCTACACCTACTTTAATGGCTTAATAATGTTATGCTTGGTAAAATTGACAAAACGGTGAAAACTCAAAATGAAGTTTTATTGTCTAAAATTTTATCATTTAATTAGCAAAATAATGAATAACCTTGATAAATAATGACCTTTCTGATAATATTATTGGGGAAAACAGCAGCTTACATCACTTACAAAAAAAATTTAAAAAGTTCGATGTCAACCTTCACTGGATATCAAAATCACCAAAAAATAAGATATATAAAAATGATTTTAGTTGAAAAAATTGAAATTTTTCTAGAAAGTTGACTACCACTCCCCCCGTAAACTGTTGAAAGAAGATAGAAGAAGGGAAAAACCTTAATCAGTATTCTATTTTTAAAATATCTTTTTCATAGTAATTATGTTTTTAAGCTCAAAGATTTGGTCTTGGAGAATGATTGTTTAATTCTTAAGTGTACTCATCTCCAGCCACTTAACACCTACTTAAAAATAATCATACCTCTTTACATGTATAAACAAAACAAACAGTTAAATATTACTTACATCTTATTTACAATATTGTTTACATCTACTTAAATTTACTATTGGGTTAAACAAATCTTCTATTGAAATAACTAAAAAGGATAGGAATCTTATTATCTTAAATTTAAAAGTACCCATTCTGAGCTGACATTAGGGCAGATAAAGTTAAGTTTGCTTTTTTCTTTTACTTTGGGTCAGGTTGGTACTAATTAGAGATAAATTAATTCAAGGAAATTATACAGCCCAAGCAAGCAATTATACCCTATTTCGCCTGACTTCATGTGTCAGTATAGTTTATTTCTAGCTTGGTTTAAATATTGAATACTATGAAAAAAATAAAAATAGCCATTAAATCTAAGACAAGGAAGTGAAAAGCTGGGTTACTTTGATTAAATATAACTATTGATTCAGTTTGTAACAAGGAAGTAAAATGCATAGTGTGCACAGAGAAAAAAATTCTTGAGCAGTTGTGTTTATCTTGGTACAAATTAAAATTGAAGTGCTGGGCTGGTACTTGTGTGTTTAAGTGAAGAACATGAATGGATTACCAGATCCTAAATAAATACTTGCTGCTGTGAAGAAAAGAAAAAACTGGTTCATTAAATAAAGCAGGAGTGATCTCCCCTAAAATTTCTTATATATTCTTATATAACAGGAAAGGGGATGGTACTTTCATATTCTTATGTAACAGTAAAGGGGATGGCATTCATGCAATAATATTTTTTTACAATACTTAAATTTTTTAAATAGAAAAGAGTCGAATAGAAAAAAGAATTGCGCACCAAATGAACATTGTACCTTATAAAGGAAACATTGATTAATTAAAAAAAAATTAATTAAATATCTAATTAATTGACATTTAATGTCACAGTGCAATATTATTGGGTCATTACATAAGTGAAAAGTTTGAAACAAATCCGTCCAGTCAAAGTGATATTTTTTGGTAAATCGGTAAAACCGTAAAGTATTACTTGACTGGAAATCACTCAAATTTTGTCAGATTCAAGACTAGAAGATCTTATAGCTAAGTGTAAAATTTTGCTTATCTAAATGAAATAGTACTTACGTTATCGGAATTTTAAAAACCGGAAATAAAGTACATCTTCCTGATTCTAAAAGATCTTATACTTCCAATGAAATATCTACTACCAAACTGTGTTATCAAGTTATCAGGTTCCCACGGAAATAGAGTAAAATACCACTACTGGTTGCTGGAGATTGTTCAAAAGCTAAAACATTCACATATAATCTAATACTTTGATTTGAATTTCCTCCACCTAACTGGAAATGGAGTAACTATCATTGTATCAACATCAAAAGTTGATAGCAAACTACAAATTTGGTGTAGTTCTTATATTATAAATTTTGTCAACCTAACAGGAACGATACTCAAGTTATCATGTTTACATATAATCGGACAGTATTGAAAAACTAAGATTTTCTTGCTGCAGAAGTTTATAAAATGTCAGTTTGTGAAACTGACATGATATAGATTTTTGCACAATTTCAATTCATCCTTTATTTTACGTATACGGTAAAGAAGGGAGGTGTAAAACTGAAAATGGTTGAAATATTTGTTAATTACTCAGTATGATTACAATACTTCATCTATCCAAGAAAGTAAAAATCTGTAACTTTTAGATTATGTTCAGATTTGTATTAAATGAAAGCATTACAAAAGATAAGTCTTTTGAAATGCTATAGGCAGTAATGTTGTAGAATGCACAGCTATGTCAGTCCCTCTACCCAGCTGTAAATTTACATGTTGTGTCATATATTGTCTGTATTGTTCATTTTATTTTTACTTTCTGGTATATACGAAGTATAGAGAAAGTATTGTAATCGTGCAAAAAAAAAATCGAGATTTTTACAAATCTCGACGTTCTACACCTCACTGATATGGAAAAACATAATTTTGCAATCTTGTCTGTATGTCTGTGTGTCTGTCTGTGTGTGTGTGTGTGTGTGTCTGTGTGTCTGTGTGTCTGTGTGTAAACACGATTACTTGAGTACCGTTACAGCTAGGTTGATGAAATTTTATATATAAGTATTTTATCAAAATCGTAGGTCCGTATCAACTTTTGAGCGATTTCCGATAACCGGAAGTGATACTTTTCCTACTTTGAATTTTTCAAAAGCCTATAACTTGAGTACTATTTCAGATAGATAAATGAAATTTCACATTTAAGTTAAATATCTAATTCTCTACCTTCTGTTAAATTTTGAGTAATTTCCGTTGACCGGAAGTAGTAATTTACGCTAGTTCCGATTTCTCAAAAAACTAATGTAAATTTTTAAAGTACTAATAATATTGCGCACTATTATGCACTTTTCTATTTGGAGTTCACTTGGTGTGCAATTCTTTTGTCTACGAGATTTTATTCTATTTTAAAAACTTTAAGTATTTAAAATGGATTAAAAATCATGTCTATAGCTCGAGTTATTTTATATAAGAATATTCGAGAAAGTTTTGGGGAGATCACTCCCGGTTTATTTAATTAAAAATGACACATTTTTACCATAAGTATGCTAGTGCCAAAGTGATTTATATCTTACACACACATTAGGCAAAAAAAAACAGTTGTAACAATGCAGCAGTAACATAGGGTTTTAGCTATAGTAATAACTCTACTGACTCTTTCACTGGCTAAATCTAATAGCCCTTAAGCCCTTGCATTATTGTGACATATAGAGCCATTGGAATAAAAAAATTTACAGGCCTGAAATTTGTTAGAAAATATGTTTAATTATTCATATCAATCAAATTACCAAAATAAATGGAAAAAAAGCAATAGACACTTCAATGGTAAACGTAGTTTTAAAAAGTTTATTTAAAAATTTGATAAGCGCATAGAAGTTAGATTATGCTCATGCTGAATTTAACAATGCTGAAATTAACACTCATCTATCACTGTAATTCTTTTATCACTGTAATTTTTTTCCACCAGAAAATTTTGGCATTACAGAACCAAACTACTACAATTATCTTCTCCAGAGTGGGACCTACAATGTTGATGGAATTGATGATAACAAAGAATTTCAAGATACCTTGGTAAAGAATTCATTGGCTTTTTTAAAACAATATTTAGTTAAATGAGTTTGCAACACATTTTTTTACCCACTTTTACTGAGTTAAATTAGGACATTCTTTTGGCACTTACTAAGGTAATATAGCGGTAAACACAATGGAGAAAAATTATTTATCATTAACAAAATGGCTGTCAGCTAATGACATGTAGTCCTGTAAAGTTAGTAAAGTGAAAAGACTCATAATTGTTACAATACATATGATTTCAAAATAATATTTTTATTTAGTTTATTTTTATAACTAATGTACTCCTTGTTTGATATCTTATGAGTCTGCTAATCTTAAGCAATTTTAATACTAAAAGTTAAAAAAAAATTGAAACAGGAAATACATTACAAAATATTACAAATTTTAATGTACATAAATGTTAAAAAAGGCATGGTTGGCTTATAACATGTTGGCTTTAGTTTTTTATTAGTTTCAAAATTTGACAGAAGTGTTCAATGATATCTAATGAATTTTTGATATTCTCTGATATGAGATTCTTTAGAAGTATGTTGCTAATCATCAACAGTCTTGTCATTAACCAAGCTGTACAGCATTCACTATTATATTTTATTTAAATATCTAACCTGTATTTATAATATGAAATATATTCATTGCTCTTTAATATTAATTTTATATTTTCTTTCAGCAAGCCATGCAGGTAATTGGAATCCACCCAGACACACAGAATGATATTTTATCCATTGTTGCTGGCATACTTCACTTGGGGAACATAACTTTTAAAGAGTCAGGAAACTATGCAGAAATAGCCAGTGCTGATTGTGAGTTAATAGAAGCTGAAAATTGCATTCTGTTGTTATTTTCTGTTAAAAAGTCTCCATTAAATTTAACTTTATAAAAATATATAATATTAGCACCACATAACTAATGTACTGTAATAGAACTTTCTTAAACTAGTTCAAAATCAATAGCTGAAATTTTACAAGTTCATTGCTTAAAGATTAGACACAATAAGTTTGTGTAAAATCAAGACACAACTTAAATAAATATTGATGGGAGGTAGTTGTCCATAAATGATGTCACACTTTCCCCCCAATTTTCTTATCTCTCCTTGTAACATGACATCATACCTTATCCTCCCTGCTCAAGTTTTAAGTTTTTCCTATTTGGAACACAAATTTAAAAAAAAACAACAATTGAGCAGTTTCTCTGTAATAAATAAATAGAATAATCAATAAATAACTGAAGACAAAATGGTATTATTTAACTGTTTACTATGTTAATTTTGCTGAAACCATCATTAATCAATATTTAATGCTGAACATGAACAAGATTAGGTACATTGATTATTTTTTTAATTACAAATTACAAAGGAGTATTTTAAAAATGCAAATTAATTTAAAATTCAGGACACAAAATTCTAAGTTTAATTTGTATACAATCCCTTTTTCAGTTCTTGAATTTCCAGCTTTTTTGTTGGGAGTGGATAAAGAACTGTTGAGAAATAAACTGATTGGCAGAATCATGGACAGCAAATGGGGTGGCCAGACAGAGAGTATAGAGATGAAGCTAAATGTCCAGCAGGCCGAGTTCACAAGGGATGCACTTGCAAAGGCCATCTACTCAAGAGTCTTTGATTTCCTGGTTGAAGTAATATCTCTTGCTGTGTACTTAATTATTAGTTGATGAAGAAAGGAAAATTTTCCTTTAATTGAAAGTTTATTGAATGTATATTTTTTGTTAAATATAATTTATCAGTAGGTCTGAAACATTTTTAAATGTAGGTTTTGTTTCTAAAATTAATGATGTCACTTCCTTTAGTAACACTATGATTGTAATTTTGAGCTGAAAATAGCCAAATAATAATAGTTACATAATTTTTACATTGCAGTCTATAAACAAAGCCATGCGGAAGGACATTGAAGTTGTGAACATTGGCATCCTAGACATCTATGGCTTTGAAATTTTTGGCCGCAATGGTTTTGAACAGTTTTGTATCAACTATGTGAATGAAAAGCTTCAGCAGATCTTTATTGAGCTGACCCTGAAGGCTGAACAGGAGGAGTATGTTACAGAAGGCATCAAGTGGACAGCTATTGATTACTTCAACAACAAAATAGTCTGTGATCTTATTGAATCCAAGTCCCCACCAGGCATCATGTGTGTCCTGGATGATGTTTGTGCCACCATGCATGCTGTCTCTGAGGGTGCTGATGAAAAGTTGCTAGAGGTGATATTTTCTTGTGATTTTATCATGTTTTATTTTTAGCATAAGTGATCAGATAAAGACAATATCTTGTTGTTTTAATCAGTTTGCTTAAATACAATGCTGATAAGTAAAGTATATAATATATAGCAAACTCACTGTTCAAGGACTGATATAATGGATATTTTGAAGTGAGGTCTTCAGCCTTCAAAAATTTGTTATAATAGCACTCAATTTAAAAAGAAAGAAATAAGGAAAACTTTTGATTAGAAAAAAAATCAACTTTATAAAAACAAGCTGTTAAAAAGTGATTCTTGCTTCTATTTAGTTTTAAAAATAGAGTTGCATTATTCTATTTTAAGATAATCATTTTTCTCCTTTTATTGGATATAGAAAAGCTTGTTACTACAAACGGTACAATATATTTATTGATTTTATTAAGGGGAAATAACAAAGCTGGGATTTTGAACACTGAAAATATTACCTGAGTATTTTCCCTTTGTATATAGTTCTGTTTTTGTACAAAAAATCAATCAATACAAGGCATTGTTCAATTTTCGTATCAATTTAAAAAAAAAAAATGGAGGAAATAAAAATGGCTAAACTTTAGTTTAAAAGACACCTGTTTAAAATACAGCCTTTCTTCCCTTCCACCTCCGCTTTTAACACTGTCAGAAAAGTTAGAACTGAAGAACATTTATCTGCCTTTTATCAATGGCAGTGTGAAAATATCTGTGAATTTCTATTATTTATACTTTTGTTATTGAATATAGTAATCTTCACATTAATTGTAGTGACTAATTTAATGTCTAATTATACTAAAAATGTGATTTTCTTGTGTTGTAAATAGAATTTATATGGAAATAAATACATTAAAAGTGGGTCGAAATTGAATTGCAATATTTGTTGACTGACCCACTGAGATATTTTTGTCTTGTGCACTACTTAAAAGTTTGTTAAAAAAAAAGGATGTTTGGGAAAATATGGGCAAAATATTCACAGCAAAGGGTTGTCAAAGCATCTTGTCACGTTTCCTGACGTTTGTCATTATGTCAGCATCAGTTTGATACTATAATAGCTGACACCTTGTATTTTAGTGTGCATGAAGTCTCTCAAATAAAAAAAAAATACATTTATCTCATTGACTCCCTAGTCTTGTAAGACTATCACATTTGATGTAACTTGTTGAGGGTGTCAGTCTTTGGGTATTTCACATGCAGGCAGATCTTTTCCTCTCTTTTTTTAAATAGAGGGTGTGGGGGGGGGTGCACCTCCACTTTTCTGTCGTGGGTTCTCACATTGCTAATGCTTTAATGTCACTGAATTACATATTTGTATCCAAGTTATACACCGCCTTTTCCCTTCAAAATATATACATTTTTAGTGCAATACATCTTTCAGAATTTCTCCATCACTCAACCTATGGACATGTTCCAGCCAATGAAGGCAGAATAGTCAATGTCAAGTGCCCATGCTGGGTAATTTTACCCACTCCAGGATAGGATTGTTTATTACGTGGTCTTTTCAACAGATCCTGTTTGTATCTCTAAAACTGCTTGTCAGGACCTCCGCCACATGTGTAGCCCCTCTCCTACATGCGTAGTCATCATTTGAGTCTGAACTAAGTCACATGTTAAAGCAGGCTCTGCATTTAATTGAGGGAGGCTTTTATAGTCTTTTGCTAGCTGTTAAGAGATTGTATGTAATGAATTTCAAGCAGTTTGAAAAAAATTATTTATTATTTTAAAACTATTTTGCTTGTTTAACTTTCAGAAATTACAAGGCCAATCTGCAACAAATAAACATTACCAAGGCTGTAGTGTAGGATTTATTATTCATCACTATGCAGGGCAGGTGAGTTTATACCTTTCCCCAGTTGTATCCCATCTTTCTGATGTAATTCTCCAGATCACTTCTCCGAGTCTTCCTTGATCTGCTTCTTTTTTTTTTGTGTGCACTTTAGTTGTTAACTGATGGCTGTACTTGGTCATTAGTTTTGTGCAGAATGATAGGATATTTGTAATATGTCTGGAACCTCTGTTGAAGAACATTAAGGAACAATATTTTATTACAGGTAGAGTACTATGCAGATGGTTTCTGTGAGAGAAACAGGGATGTATTGTTCTCTGACCTAGTGCTTCTCATGCAATCAAGTAGGAAGTGAGTGCCTTTAACTTAATGAATAACTTACCTGTTTTACATACATTGAGGCTGCAGGATGGGATCTGAATTTGTTTCTGGATATATCCAGAGTTGATATTTTTAATGTTTCCACTTGTCAATATTTTTAGCATTTTTTTTGTAAAAATTCTATCGTGTTGTTTAGATATAACATATGACATAATGACATAATTTTTGTGTGGTTTGAAGTTTTAAAAGATATTATTTACCCGTTCATTAGTTTATTTAGATAATTCTAATGATATATCATTTGCTTTTTTTTTCTCTTTTATTAGCCAATTTATCGTTAGCTTGTTCCCTGAAGTAGTCAACACTGCAGCAAAAAGCAGACCAACCACAGCTAGCATGAAAATTAAGGTCAGTGAGACTTTTTTCTACTAATGCTGTAGCAGTGTAAAAAATGCAGTTACATTATAAGTCATTGAGCTTCAGTAGAAATACTAATATTTTAAAAAATTCTTCATCCAGACTCAGGCCAATAAACTTGTCGAGACTCTAATGAAATGCACACCTCACTATATTCGATGCATTAAACCTAATGAGACAAAACGAGCAAAAGATTGGGAAGACCAGAGGTAGGCTAGGATTTTCTGTGCTTAACACGTCTCTGCAATTAAAAATATAGTAGCATGAATTGCTAAATATACAATTAATTCTGTTTTTAAGGGTCAAACATCAGGTTGAGTATCTTGGCCTCAAGGAAAACATCAGAGTGAGGAGAGCAGGTTTTGCATTTCGAAGAGAATTTGCAAAGTTTATCAAAAGGTAGGATAATATACTGTAAAGTAACAAATAATAATGTAAATTAGATCTCTAGAACACAGTATTTTTAAATTAAAACAGAAACGTAGAAGTAAATTTTACCCAATCTAGAGGTAATTTTGCATGCCAATCAATCACAACTTTTCTTATTTAAACAAATACCAGTAAGGTGGGAGAGATTATTTTCTGAATTTCTTTAGATTTCCCATTTTTCCCCATCATATTTGAATGTTTAATCTGAAATTTTCCAGATATTTTTCAATTACATATAGTAATTGAGCTTCCAATTTTTAGAGTGCAAGTGTTAGCTACTCACTTTACTGCTCTAATTTTTTGCAAAAAATGACCATTGCTAGTCCAAGCTAACTCACTGTTACAATTTAGGCTATTTACTGTGAAAAACTTTTCTGAAGTAAAATAATCTGAATACCATGTCCATCTTAAAAAGTATAGACCTGCTTAGGACTGTTCTGGTTGTTCACACTCGACTTGGTTCATTTGATGGGCAGGGAGGCTTATATCAGTATGGAGGAGAGAGTCTGTTACAGCACAGGGATACAGTTACTAGTTTAAATAAGTTTACTCTGTTAACTTGCTCTGAGTCAAAATAAAAACTATCTAAATTAATTACTATAACTTCATTAAGTTAATTAAAAAACTTTTCAGACGTTGGGGAAAAAATGTTAGTAATTATAAAATTGAAAGTAAATCAGAACTGCACTCTGTATAATTAACTTGTCCAACCCAAAATATTTCCTTTTTTTTAATGATCTGGTCACGTGTGTGATACTCAAAGCCTCATAGAAAGCAACACTTTATACATGATCTCACATATTTTTAGTAGTAGCTAATACATTTTAGCTAGATATTGGTTACTAATTGTTTTGGTTTTATGTATTTTGATTACAGGTATGCCATCCTTACACCAGAGACTTACCCTAACTGGAGAGGAGAAGCAAAACAAGGTGTCCTGCATTTACTTAAGACGGTTAACATGGACACAGACCAGTACCAGCTTGGGAAGACAAAAGTTTTTATCAAGAATCCAGAATCTGTAAGTATTCTTTGGTATTTGATGGAAATACATAGGGTAATTATTAAATTTGTAAACTTGCTTCCAACTAAATTAAATTTTATTTTATTCACTTTTTCAAAATTTTAACTGTCACACATTTTACTTCTTCTGTAGCTGTTCTTGCTAGAAGAAATGAGAGAAAGAAAATTTGATGGCTTTGCTAGAGTTATCCAAAAAGTGTGGAGAAAACATCACGCTCAACAGAAATATTTCAAGCTAAGAGAGGAAGGTAAGCCTAGTTTACCATGGCCTTTACCAACTTGTCAGCATGCAAATAAACAACTTGCCCATCCTAACCGAGCACCTAGATCTAACTCTTCTTAGAGGTCATCTATTTATGATGCCCGCAAAAAAAAAATGAACTTAAGTTCCACCAAGTTCCAATTGAAACATGAGCAAAACTATTTGATTGTTAATATTTAACATACATGTTATGTGTTCATTTTGACTTTAATTTTTAAGTTTTGTTAATTTGATCTTACATTTATAAATTACTTACAGCATCCGATATCCTCTTCAACAAGAAAGAGCGTAGACGTCATAGCCTTAATCGTAATTTTGTTGGGGACTATCTTGGCTTAGATGATAACCCTGAATTAAGAGCTTTGGCAGGGAAAAGAGAGAGGATAGAGTTTGCTGATTCTGTGAAGAAATTTGATCGCCGTTTCAAAGTAAGACTATTAACAAATCCTCTAATTTAAATCCCTTAAATTCTAGAATAAGCAAAGAGCAATTAACTCTAAAATGTGTTCATTACTTTGACATTTTTCAGTTCGTTAAAAGAGATATGCTGCTGACTGCTAAAAGTCTTCTGCTAGTGGGTCTTGAGACTGTAAGTACATCCACTTTTTAAAATCTTGTTACCAGAAAATTAGTTAATGAAATCTTATGGAGAAGGGTAAATTCAAATTTGCTATAACAAAAGTTCTTTTATTTCCTGTGTTTAGATTTATTATTTGACATGTGGTTAAAGTGAGTGAATTAAAAGAATGATTAATTTTTTTCTCTTTTGAATTTATTTAGATAAAAAAAGGACCAGATAAGGGAAAGAAACAATTGGTTGTGAAACGGAACATACCTCTAGACCAGATCTCAGGGATTGTAATGAGGTAATCAAACTTTGTACAAGTTTTGATCTTGTGTAATTATCATGATGAGATACACAAAAATAATATGCTGATATTAATATTAATCTACAGCACAATGCAGGATGACTTTTTTGTTCTAAATGTCAACAATGAATATGGAAGCTTTTTAGAGAATGTTTTCAAGACTGAATTTCTCACTGTTCTGGCAAAGAAATACAAAGAAAGAACAAACAGAGAAATTAGCATACAGTTTCAAGACACGTAAGAATGATTTCCTCCTTTTAATATAATTTATAAATATAAACAGTGCATTATTATAGTTGTTTGATTAAAATATATTGAATTTTGAATAATTTTCTTGATAGAAGTTCAGAGCAGTTTGTTAAGTTCTAATTAAAATAAAAGTTATCTAATAAATTTCACAATACTTCAAACGTGTCAATATTAGGTTAGATTTCCAAGTTAAGAAAGAAGGTTGGGGTGGAGGTGGATCCAGGCAGGTGAAATTTCTTCGTGGTGCAGGTGATATTGCACAGCTCAAACCCTCATCCAAAGTTCTGACAGTCACCATCGGACCAGGCCTTCCAAAGAACTCAAGTGAGTTATTAAATATGTCAGCCGCTTCAGTTCATTGTGTGTCCCACTTCTTAACCTACATCTAATTTCTTTTCTTACTTTAGTTTTTGGTAAATTAAATCTATTGTTAACAATTCAGAGAGCATAAAATCTGTTATAAAAATATATTTGCTATATATATATAAAACAAACACAACATAAGCAATAAAATAAAAACAATATCTAGTTATAATTGATTGGTTGTTCTTTTAGCTTTAGCTTTAAAATAAGTTTCTAATGAATTTTATGTTGACGAGACTAGTTAGAACTTTGCCATAGAACTGATGCATTTTTTTTTCTTTTTGTAGGACCTGGTAGAAAACCTGTAGTCAAGAGCAATGGTTCCAGTGCCCCGCGTCGAGCACCAGGCCCCCCTGCCCCTGTTGGAGTTGTGTCTGGTAGATCAGCTCCTGGTCGTCCTGCACCAGGTCGACCTGCTCCAGGTGCTCCACCCACTGGTCCTCCACCTGCTATACCACAAGGCAATGCTCCACCCCCTCCAACAAGTCAACCGCCTTCACGTAAAGCAGGTGATAAATCTTGTACGCAGATTTTTTGTTTTTATTTTATAATTTTTAAGTTCAAAGATCTTTTTATTTTAAATAAACTACCAGTACATTTGTTTTAAAATTGAACAGGAGGTTTTATATTAATTTGCCGTGGTCTAGTTGCTAAAAAGTCATGAGTTCAAACTCTCGGGCAGATGAGGCTTCTTAGCTGGGGACAGCCACTCTTCTAGGTGACAACTCCAAAATCAAACAACTGCTGCCTTGTAGTTTGTTCTTGGTTGGACAAAGGCTATGGAAGCAAATCCAAAAAGAAAGGCAGGCTGTAATCAGAGTCCTCAATGGCGCATAACCAGTTAGATGTATTTAATTGTGTTGGAGGTATGGTCAAGTCTGCTAACTCATGGTTGTTGAAATACGAAAGAAAATTCTGGAGTTCAAACCCACTGGCAGATAAGGCTCGATCCCTTCCAACACTAAAAATTAAGAATAAAGAAGAAGATCCTCACATAGGATGTCACCTAAGATTTTAAACTTCATTATTGTTTTTCAAAAAAACGCATTTGTTTTTAAATGACTATGATACTATGATTGATACGGTGGGTTAGTTTTTAAGGAATGTTGTGATGCAATTGTCCATGCAGCAGGAATGTGTCGTCTGCTAGATTTCTTCTCATCTAAAACTTGGCGGGCGAAGTGGGTGGGCTTAGTTGGCTGTTGTCTCAATCAGGTTATATTTTTAAGGAATTTTGTTTTTACCCTGATACATTTTTTAAATTAATGAAATTAGTTTAGTAAGACATAATATATAACTTTGTGTATGACACAATAAGTATAAGTGTTGACACAAAAGTATCAAGTACAGTAATTAATTTTTTTCACACATTATGATCTGCTAAAAATATTCTCAGCTTTTAGGCCAAATAATGTACAAAAAGCAAGTTTACATAAAACACTAATTGTCCATTGTTAAAACTAGATCGGTCTCATTGTATAAGACACAAATATGATTACAAATATGTGTTGTTGAAATGACCATGAAGCATTGTTAAAAAATGAAACCCCGGTATCGTTGTTTTTGACAACCATCATTACTATGACGACGATAAAAAAGTAGGTCAAGCGACAAAGAAATATATTTTTCCTTCCTCCCCAGTCAAACGCCAGTCAAGTAAAGATATCCAGGAGAACCTCATGCAAAGGCAAGCATCCAGGCGACCCACTGACAAGACACCTTCACTCCCAAGAGGTGCAGACAGTCCGGCTAAGATAATGGCAGCAGCTAAGAAAATGAACAACAACAACAATGCTAATTTCATGAGACCACCAGATCCTGGTATGGCAGGGTAAGTTCTCTCCCATAGCTTCTAAGAAGCTGAATACTTCATTGACCATCTAAATAATAGGAAGTTGGCATATATATAATTGATTGTTGCAATTTTTATGTCATATGAAACTAGAGCAATACTTGTGTCATTACTTTTTATGGGGGTCATCCCTACCCTACCCGGCCATCACACATCACAAACACCCTTTATATGATATCACCTCCCCATCCTGTTCCACTCTGAAATTGCTGTTCCTATAAAAAATTAAAGTTTTTTTATTTTAAGAAATATAAATTGCCTCCCCTATTCCCCCTTGTAGCTCATCCCAAAAAAAAGTCTTAAATCCCTTTCATAAGGTGTGTAGCCTCATGTATTCATTTTTAATTTGATGGCAATTTAATTACTACTCTCATCAAAGTTTTGTAGGTATTTGAAAATTTATTGAGTAATCTATATATATAATTCTCTTCTTCGAGCCGTTAGAAAACAAGCTGCAAACGCTCTCCCTACCTCCCCACCCCTACATGGTTTTAGTGAGCTGTGTTCACTCTAAATGTTTACAAGCAGAGCCAACGATTTTAAACGTAGGGGGGGGGGGGTAAGAAGGGGGGGAGGGAAGGAAGGGGGGGGGTTATGGTCCTTAACGAGCTACTTATAGTGTTTTAAAGAAATATTTTCAGTGTCAGCGTTGGTACTGTCGAATTCACAAATTATGAATTATTGAAAATTAGAAACAACTAAATAGCGGCGTATGTTATGCCGCGGGCCGGCTCGTCTATTATATTACAGCTTTTAGAATGCTATTCTAATACTAATAGCTCTAACAGGTTGGTTATCTGTTCTGGTTAATATGTGAATTAATCAACAAATATTTATATATTTTTTTAATTTCTTTTGAATTACTATAGACTTTGTTTGATTGTTGGGTATATGTTTGAAAAAATTCAACACAATTTTTTATTTTAATTTTAATGTTTTAAAAGTATCTGTATTCTAAAACTATTTTGTACGAATTAATAAAATTAGTACACATTTTTAACTCCATCCTAAAGACTTGTTACCCATTGGCATAATTTCAACATGTTTTTTAAAAATGTTTAATCGGTTTACTGTATATCTCCAATACTGTGAAGGTTTAATTATTTGACTTTTAAACACATCGGATCTTGATAGAGCTTATTTTGCTTAATTTCTCTGTGTCAACAAAATGATCAAAACCCAAACAATTATATTATGATATATGAAAGCCTTTGACTCCATCTTTTGTGTAACAAAATGTTATGTTTATTCATCCACTGTGTGCAGCCCATTTCATGTTGTTACACAATATATTGTTGCAAGGCACAAAAAATGCACACGTACACACTATTTTTCCCTTGTGAATAAATGTGTCTCCTTTCAACCTTGTCCTCCTCAGCATTGAATCCAAACAGTAAGTGCTGCTAGGATGTTGTACAGTCAATGTTGGTCTTGGTATACACTGGCTTTTGTCTGAAAAATTGTCTATTTGTGTTAGGTTGACAAGTAACTTAGCCTTCCATAGAATTTGATTACTTTAGTTTTTGTTTTAATATTATTTTTATTTCTTGACTGTAAGAAAAAAATTCAAGCTTTCAAATTTTAAACTTTAAAATAATGAAATTTGTTGCAAATGAAACAAAATTTCAAGCTTTCTAATTTTAAAACCTTCCACATATTGAGTGGCAGAAAAAGCCAATAGCAGCATGTGTGTTTTCAGTAATTGAGTACCTAGAGCTTTGGTTGATTTTCTAAATTAAGTCATTAAGTTTTTTACTTTCTCGTATATACGAAGTATAGAGAAAGTATTGTAATCGTGCACAAAAATCACTTGAAATTTTAACATCTTTCACCGTATTACACCTCAGTCCTTCATCACATCCGAAGTTTAGAGGACTTATTTTAATCGGGCAAAAATTATCAATCCAGATTTATCAAAATTAAAAGGTTTTATGCGTATTCCAGTCTGAAAAACTGGGCTTTGCAATTCTGTCCGTATGTCTGTGTGTCTGTGTGTGTGTGTGTCCGTGTGTAAACACGATAACTTGAGTACCGTTACAGCTAGGTTGATGAAATTTCATATATAAGTATTTTATCAAAATCGTAGATCCGTATCAACTTTTGAGCGATTTCGGATAACCGGAAGTGGTACTTTTTATACTTTGAATTTTTCAAAAGCCTATAACTTGAGTACTATTTCAGATAGATAAATGAAATTTGATATGTAAGTAAAAGATCTAATTCTCTACCTTCTGTCAAATTTTGAGAATTTTTCGTTGACCGGAAGTACTTATTTACGCTACTTCCGATTTCTCAAAAAACTAATGTAAATTTTAAAAGTACTAATAATATTGCGCACTATTATGCGCTTTTTTATTCGCGTTCACTTGGTGTGCAATTAATTTGTCTACGAGATTTTATTCTATTTTTAAAACTTTAAGTATTTAAAATGGATTAAAAATCATGTCTATAGCCCGAGTTCCCATCCCCTGTTATTTTATATAAGAATATTCGAGAAAGTTTAGGGGAGATCACTCGCGGTTTATTTTAAAAAAAGCCTGCAGTTTCATTGAATTAATCATTAGATACATGTTACTCATTTTGTTATAAATGTTTTTCACTTTTCTTCTTTGTAAAAAATAAGGAAGTATTTTACTACATATACACTCTGCTTTAACATGAACCCCCTCTACTACAGTTACAGGAATTTTCAGTACAATTCTATTACTTGCTATCTTTAGTCCTCTGTTTTAGAGAGGTTTATGAATGTTACCAAGTCACTGTTTGTGGTACTCTAGTTTTGCTTTGTTGTTTGTTTGCCCCAGCTTTGGTGATAATCTACATTTTCCATTGTCATAAAATAATTTAAATACTCTTGCCTTTTTTGATGGATGCTTTCTAAATTTAACGTTGCCTAAATACTGGCTATTACTAAAGAAGATACTTGTCTAGTCTATAACAAGTCTAATAAGTTAATTATTTCATCTTTCAAAATAATTTTTGTACACTATAGTAATATTGATCAGGCATGTAATTATTATAAAAACAGAAGTGAAAAACAAATTTAACTTAATAATTTATCTAGTATAAAAAAAGCTGTTAAGACAGTGTACATATTTGAAATTAACTACTCATAAACATTATACTTTGTTGAAATATACTTTTAAAGTTTTCTATGAAAACACATTATAATCTTGTCTCAGTAAGTTGTTAATTTAATTGCTTTAATTATTAATAATCTTGTTTTACTGAAAATAATGTAGAACATCCTGAATTTCAATAAGTAGAAAAGCTAGTGATGAATGATTTAGTTGTGTTGGGTCAGTTTAGCCCAAAATGTACATTGAGTTACTTATATATAGGAATCATGCAATAGTCCATCACATTAAAACATGTAAGCAGAGTGAAGTACATTTATTTCTATAGTGTATTGGGGGTTTAAGAAAAAAATATTGAAATGCAAATTTTCTGTCTGATCATAGTTAATTAAAAGCCATCTTATGTTTTGACTAATAAATATGGGTCAAATAAAAACAAAACATGATGCACTTTAATATATTCAGCTACATTTATACCTGACAGTGACTCTTTAACCACTCTGACACACTGCATGTTTTAATTTGACACTAACTTACTCTGATGTGACTTTTACACATGCCATAGTTACACTATGTATAATTGCAACATTGACGTTACCATTAAATCATCAGTGTTATTAAAATGTCTAATAAAATACATAAACTAGCACACATCACATTGGCATAGTTGGACACTTGCTTTTTTACCATGTAATCTTGTCACCCAGTTGTAACATATAAAAGTTGTCAAGCAGTTTTACTCAATAGAAATCCAAGATGTTTTTTGAGTCGAACTTTGGCTACATTGATTACTTCCTTGTTTGACCTTGTTTTACAGAAAGGCATTTCTTTCTATGTATATTTGATCATCATCATTTCACATTCTAATAACAAATTTTTATTATAGTGTTTTTTTAAATATACTTATCTACTAATCTTTCTCTCTTTTTTTTATTACTAATATTATTGATTGCATGGTTTTTTCTTACTTAACGTGAAATCCAAATTATAGAAATCTTTAAAATGAAAGGGGAAAATTTGTGTGTAATATAAGTGATTTAATTAGGGCCTGTTACCTTCCAATTTTACTAGTGTTTGTTCTCTTGCAAATGGCTATCATTAGTTACAAATTTTACATTGTCAAACCTACATTTAAAATAACATCTGAGTTAGCATAAAGTCTTTGGTGGAAATGTATGCACTAACATCTATTATAAAATACTATAAATATTGTTTCTTGAAATTGTTACTATTGTTGGTGAGAATAACATAACATCATCAGTGAATGTTTTGCTTGTGGTGCATTTAGACATGCCCATTATTCTTTATTTTCACAGAGCACAGAGACAAAGTTTGAGCAAGCCAGCCCCCGGCGGTGGAAGACCACGACCAACTCCTAAAGCCAAACCAGCTCTACCACAGTGCCGATGTCTTTATGCTTATGATGCTCAAGATACAGATGAGCTTAGCTTCAATGAGGGAGACATAATTGATATTATATCAGAAGGTATAGTCTTTATGCTTATGATGCTCAAGATACAGATGAGCTTAGCTTCAATGAGGGAGACATAATTGATATTATATCAGAAGGTATAGTCTTTATGCTTATGATGCTCAAGATACAGATGAGCTTAGCTTCAATGAGGGAGACATAATTGATATTATATCAGAAGGTATAGTCTTTATGCTTATGATGCTCAAGATACAGATGAGCTTAGCTTCAATGAGGGAGACATAATTGATATTATATCAGAAGGTATAGTCTTTATGCTTATGATGCTCAAGATACAGATGAGCTTAGCTTCAATGAGGGAGACATAATTGATATTATATCAGAAGGTATAGTCTTTATGCTTATGATGCTCAAGATACAGATGAGCTTAGCTTCAATGAGGGAGACATAATTGATATTATATCAGAAGGTATAGTCTTTATGCTTATGATGCTCAAGATACAGATGAGCTTAGCTTCAATGAGGGAGACATAATTGATATTATATCAGAAGGTATAGTCTTTATGCTTATGATGCTCAAGATACAGATGAGCTTAGCTTCAATGAGGGAGACATAATTGATATTATATCAGAAGGTATAGTCTTTATGCTTATGATGCTCAAGATACAGATGAGCTTAGCTTCAATGAGGGAGACATAATTGATATTATATCAGAAGGTATAGTCTTTATGCTTATGATGCTCAAGATACAGATGAGCTTAGCTTCAATGAGGGAGACATAATTGATATTATATCAGAAGGTATAGTCTTTATGCTTATGATGCTCAAGATACAGATGAGCTTAGCTTCAATGAGGGAGACATAATTGATATTATATCAGAAGGTATAGTCTTTATGCTTATGATGCTCAAGATACAGATGAGCTTAGCTTCAATGAGGGAGACATAATTGATATTATATCAGAAGGTATAGTCTTTATGCTTATGATGCTCAAGATACAGATGAGCTAAGCTTCAATGAGGGAGACATAATTGATATTATATCAGAAGGTATAGTCTTTATGCTTATGATGCTCAAGATACAGATGAGCTTAGCTTCAATGAGGGAGACATAATTGATATTATATCAGAAGGTATAGTCTTTATGCTTATGATGCTCAAGATACAGATGAGCTTAGCTTCAATGAGGGAGACATAATTGATATTATATCAGAAGGTATATAGTTCTATTTGTGGTTGAAATTAAAAAAAAAAACACCCACTTTATTGTGGGTTAGAACTGCAGTTGTTTTATTTGTATCTTGAAGTAGTCATTTCTTGTAGAAAGTAAAATGCATATTGGTATAATGTGCATACATCTAGTACGGACTTTTTTATTATATGTCAAAAATTTTTACTTTAAAAGCTGTAGAGAAAACGTGCACAAAACATTTATTATAATAATAAGTTTTGCTGTTTAAAAATCAAAACAAAACTTGCTGGCAAAATATATTTATGTTAGTACTCTGCATTACCTTAGGCAAGAGATCACATGCTCAATTCAGGATAGGCTGCATCACAAACAAAAAAAATATTAAAAAATCAGTTCTGTATTATGTTAAATTATTCAAAACAATATTTTATATTCCTAAATATAACATATCAAAGCTTGTAAAGCTGGAAATATGTGGAAAGTTGCATGGGCATGGCATTCATGAAGTGCTGTATCTACCAACAAGTAGTCTCTGTCTTGTGTTACATGACATTCAATTTAGGATACACGTTGCATTGGGCGGTATCTGTAGAATCCCTGTATAATGAGTATTTAAGACTGAAACCACTACTTTATAATTAGCAGTCTTTTTATGTTTTTGTTAATATTTCAACAGATGCATCGGGATGGTGGAAAGGCAAAGTGAGGGGACAAGAAGGCCTCTTCCCTGAGAATTATGTTCAGAAAATTTAACAAACATTTAAGGCAAGATGGCAGGATAATAAAACCTATTTCCTGAGAATTTTTTGAGTGAAAATGGAAACAAGGAGTTTGAAGCTCATTCTCAGGATTTGAATGTTACTATTTTTGAGGAATTAGGGAAAATCATCAACATGATATGATGAAATCAGTTCGATATGTTTTTATATATATATATATATTGTCTGAGTGAAATTAAATGGCTGGATGTAAACAAGTACACCATAAGGTATTAATTATTTTACTGTTCATTTCAGTGTGTGCAACATTTTGTTACTTATGCTGATCTTTTTAATGTCAATTTGCTGTTAAAATTCTTTTACATTATTTCATGCAGTAAAAACATTTTAAAGATTTTAAAAAGATTATTTGTTTGCAAAAAAAGAAAACACCAAAACAATGAAATCCTTGTACTATTTTGCTTACATACATTGTTTTCTAGTAATATTTAAATGCTTAAAATAACAAGACATTAGCTCTAAAAGTTGTTTGTTATTTAGTTTTGCTATTTAAACATTGTTGATGAGGATCATCTTTGGTATCATCATTTTAACATAGAACTATTTTTTTTAAAAGTGTCAGTTGATAAAAAATTCTTTTGATTAAGCAAAGAGCTTTTGCTGGTAGAAACTAATAACATGTTTAGCAAAGCAGTTTTGGCAACAACTACATAAATAATAACAAAAATGAGAATAATCTAGGTGAAAATTTTTAGTAACATAATGTCAGTACTCAAAAATTGATCACATCTCAGAGTGGCATGATTTTCTGAGACAAAGTTATGGTGCTGTAGGCTATTAAAACTTAATGTACTATTGAAATTTAGTGACATGTCTGTAAGTTAAGTCTATTGTGGTTTGAACTACAGTATTTTTAATGTCAGTGAATGAAATTGATTTTCAGTATTGTTTAGTTTGATGTATTTGACCTACTCTAAAGACCTATTTGTTTGTTGTATATGGCTTAACATTAAGCTTATTGGTTATGACTAAACTAAACATATGGCTTAGAACTTATTGTTTATGACTAAACTTGAGGCATTTAAGCTAGTTGTTTATGACTAAACATTGGGCATTTAAGCTAGTTGTTGATCGTATTTAATTTACATTAAGAACAAATTTGAAATTTAAAAAAAATATTGTTCTATATGTTGCTTTACTAGTCTATTCTGCCAAAAGAAATTTTGTATGGCTATTTGTTTTTATCTGTTATTTTTTTTTAAAAGAATTTTTTTTATTCTGTTAATTTTGTAAGAAATTTTGAATGTCAGCAAATCACTGTAATCTGTTATTTTTGGTTTACTTATATTTGCTTTCAATACACAATTCTACATTTATTTTTTTAAGTTACATTTAGAACCATTATTTTAAGTAGTATAGTATATGTGACTTCATAGGTTTAAGTTATATGAATAGCAAAATGTTAAATATAAAGCTTTTGTAAAAAAAAATTTTTTGAATGATCCAGTAAAACAGCGATTACTCTGAGGGTGTTTGAAGCCTAAATGGTTTTATCATTAGTATGGATGGCCATTCCAAATATCTCAAAATAGCACACTGGTGCTAAACTACTAAAATCATGTTGGAAATCACATGTTGTCAAGTTTTGTAGTCTCAACATGACAAGGATTGTATTTAGATTGAAAAATTCAATATGAAATGTAAATTGTCACTAATTTTGAATATTTATGAAATAATTTTATAAATGTTATGTGTAGGGAGATCTATCTGTATTATAATTATTATTTTATCATTCTGATATTCCTAGGTAGTAACATTTTTCTCCCCATTGTCAGGGATAATAAGATCAATTTACACTGTTTGATCTCTAATTGTGGCTTGTGAAAATTGCTTTCAACTTCAAAACAAAATACCTTACTGATTAAAAAAAGTATAAGCATGAATATGCATCTACAGCAGTTTCCAACCTTTTAACCTCTAGTGTAGGCCTACTTCTTGTCCATGTGTTCCTTTTATAACCCCCTCATGTTCTTATTTTAAAAAGTTAATAAATTCTAATTTGGGCATAAGAAGGTGTGGTTAGTCCATTACTTCCTATGGATTTTTCCCCTCACTGTGACTTTCACCAGTCTCTGCAAACCAGTACATTCATTAAGCCTAATTTTAGACCCCTTTTATTTAGTAATTTCCACTTTTTTCTACACCCCCCCCCCCTTCTCCAGCTAAAGTACATTTACATGGGTGTTGTTTTTTGTAAAATTCTTCTATTGAGACTGAAGTCATTCCATATTTAAACAGCTGATTACAACTTTTAAAATTCCTCATGTCTGTTAAAAAATAATCATTAAAAAACGCCTTAGCATTTAACCTGTGATTAAAACCAGTTGTGCAGTATGTCTTTCCAATTTTATGAAAATTTGCTGAGATAACTTTTTTTTACTGTCCCATGATTTGTGTAGTATCAATGCCTATTTCAGTGTGTTTGATATCTTGACATTAAAAATGAGCATCACTTGTCACTGTATGTTAAGCATTTTTGTGTCATTTTATTTTTTAAGTTAAAAAAGTTGATATGAGATTGTAAAATAGCTGTAACAAGCATTTTACTTTGATACTATATCTTGTTATTGTCCTTTGTATTTAAAAATACTTATTTAGTCAGTTTGTAAGACAGTGTCTTGATATAAATAAACCCTACAAGTAAATTCTTCCATGACTTGTACATTTTTAGAACAGTCTACTTTTGGCATCCAAATATAGTTATTTATATCTATCTATCTATATATATGCATTGTTTATTTTTTAATTTTTAGCATTTGGTATGTATATTTTTGTATGGCTTTACCTTGGTGAAAACTTTCTCAATTATCATATCATGTATTGAAACATTTCTATTTCTTGTCATTTATACAACAATGAAACCATCTATTTTAGTAAAGCTAATTAACTACCTGTGATTGTTAACTTTGTTGATCAATCCTGTGCTATTTTTCTTACAACTTTTATATCTCCACATTCCAATCTTATCAGATACAACCCTGTGAGTAGATTCTTGTACATACTGATTGTATCTGTCTTGTTATCTCTGCTTTGCTTCTGGGGCTTCTTTCAGAATTCTCTTTAAGGGGAGGGTCGTACCCCACCTACCCCATGGAAGATCTACTAACCCCCCATCAAATAAAAAGAATTTATATGCAAAATATATACTTTGTTCTTCATCTACTGTTTAACCCGCACCCCCACCCTGAAATTTAAGGCCCTTCCCCCATGGAGAAAATTGTCTGAAAGGAACGCTGTTGCTTCTACTGCTCAAAGCTCAAAATTCAAGTCTATTGCTATAAAGACTGTTGTGCCCATATTGCCAGCAGATTTTTTTTTCATATTGGATTACTGAGTATTGTTAAATCATTTAAACAATCTTCAGCTTTATAACAATGAAATCTATCTTAGATTTTTGAAAGATTAAAAACTGTATAATTTATTGTGCTGAGGTTAAATAATAATGATGTTCATAGAAAATTTCCTATGCTATAAAATTAAAAGTTATTAATTGTTATGTTTACTAAATTGTTTAAATACAGGATTTTTTTTTTTTAAATTACAATATTTATAACTCACACAGCCAGTCAGCAAATAGTCTATTAAATGTGTTTCTAAAAGTTTTAATTGTATATAAACTACTTGTATTGTTAATGATTAGTTCCCTTTCATTTGTTTCCACATGTTTTTAATGATACCATTACCCAGTCGTTTGATCTCTGAAACAAGTGAAGTAAAATTGAGGGGATATGATTATTTCCCTTGAGGGTATTTGGAAGTTGTTACACATCTCAGGCTAAATATAGAAAAGCTTCATCCATTTATTTATTCATTTAATTGAGAATAGTCTTTATTATTAGGTGAATGGAACTGTATACCTTTTCAATTTTTCACCATGTATTTTACTATTTGTTTATTTTATATTCATGTAATCTCTTCTTCTAATAATGACAACCATCTATGTCGCTGTGACAACAAGCAAATTTATTTGTGTATTTAATTTTTTTGCTTCTTTTGTGAAGCATTTACCATTTTTATAAATAATTACATGTAAACATTATATATTGCATGAGTTTCTCTATAAGCTTGCTTATTTTACTGAGTGCAAGGTGAAAGATATATGTATGTGCATATACATGTCCTTGTCTGGTTACACATGAACATTTGATCAATTCAAACGTGTACACTCTGCTATTAATAGTTCAGAAATAAAACAGATTGGGCTAAATATGTCTCTGACTTTTCAGTCAATTCTTAAAATGTTAACAAATTTTGTTTACTGCCATCTACCCCCCCCCCCCCCCCGACCCATACTATTTGAAAATAAAACATCTCAAATGGGATCATGTCAAGAGCAACTTTAACATAAATCATATTTTAAATGTAACTCTTCTTATAAGGAAAAAAACCCAATATTACCGCCTAGTGGCATAGCCAGGATCGTCTCAAGGGGGGGGGGGGGCTTCCAATTTTTACCCGGGGACAAACTTTCGATTTGCACCCCCCCCTCATACTTTATATATATATATATATATATATATATATATATATATATATATATATATATATACCGAGGGGTCTATGGGGGGTATGAGACCCCTAACCCCCCCTGCCTACGCCACTGTTACCGCCCATGTAAGAGGCGCATTCAACTAACATCAAATGTTTGTTATGTGATCAATTTTAAAATAATATTTTAGGAAAACCCCACACATCTTAACTAATTTATACACAGCGCACGTAACCATGATCTATAGTCGCTAGTGAAAGTAAGGCAAACATGTCCAATTTTAAAATGCGCTTTTTATTTTTGACAAGTAATCCCTAATAGCGTAATTTGTGATCATGTATTTAAAAAAAATCACTGTCCATTTTTGTTTTAACAAAACATCTCCAAACCATAATTTAAGTTGATGGAACATTTTCACAGTGTGGTGTAACCATGACCAAATTCTGAATCAGTGCGACCCAAACCCGAATGAAAATAAGCTGCCCCGCAGCGTCTTGTCGCGTTGATTTTATTGTGGTAACCTATCTCGCGTGCTGACTACAAATTGGGCAAATTAGCAAAATAATCATTATGGCGAGGTGGGGGAGATGAACTGAAGGAAAAATAAAGATTCTCGCCCGAGGGACGCGTTCGCGAGTGAAGCGGTTCTCATTTTGTTAACAAGCCTGTACCAACGTAAAAGTAATACTATCATGTTTCTAATACTTTTTTTAAAGTCGTGCTCACCCTATGACTTTAAACCTCAAACACACAGCATGTGCACCACTAAATAGCCTCGGTGGCCACTGATGTACGAGGCATCTTAATCAAAACGGGATCAGCAGAAGCGGAAGGACATGTGCCCAGACTCAGCGCTTCTGGGCGGATGGAGACAGATTTGCTTTAAACCCCATGATCTCCTTCCGACACCCTTAATTCTGTTTTACTCACTCAATTTCCCGCGCATCACAATTCCAATTACAGTTAGGGGGATGGAACTTAATCAAATGGCAGGGCGGGCGACGCTGTAGCTAATTCTATTAGCTCTTGGGCTGTATCGAAGGACGGGAGCGAGCGAGTACTTCGACTAAATCGAAAGTAGCTATTCAAGACGATTCTGCAAATCTTTATTCTTTTAAGTCAAGAATAACAAACTTTTAGTTGGTATGAGTCTATCTCAGCTTTTATTATGGTTTCTATATTTTAACCAGCAGATAAAAAAGTTAAAGTATTTAGAAAATCTACCAAAAAAATGCAAGAATTTGTGGTACGAGGTATCGATTCTTTTTACCAGGAATTAAAGCCACGACTACTTTTGTGGTGATTTGCTAGAACCGCTGGTGGTCGTTGGGCGCTCTAATGGTAATCAAATGTTGAATCTGCCCGAGGTAAGCGGTCGGCCCGTGATGTGGTTTGAATAGTCAAGTAAGTCACAGAACAGTGTATAGTTTGCAACTAGTCTCTTGCCACAGTGGCTGATATGCTTCCAAGAATTTGTAAAAATTGGATCACTCTGGTATTTTTAAACCGGATGTATCTGATTTTTTTCACAAATAAACCTTCAAAGTTTTTACAAAACCACCAAACGATCACTACGACTTCCATATCTAGATTTAACACTAGATGTTCAAACTGGTATTGAGTGAATGTTATTAGATCTAAATTATGCAAACATAGGTTACAAATAATCGCCAGTCCCACATTCTATAAACAAAATCAAACTTTCCTTTTATATAATATAATATATAAATTATACTACACGATAATGTTTCTCTTTAATCTTTTTTATTTTCCTCATCTCATCTTTACGTCTACAGGAAAATTTCAATATCATGTTGACTTTTCTACTGAAAATTAGAATCTAGAATTGATTGACTGCTGCTTTATTGATAATAAGGGATCAGCCTGGTAGATATAATGTGATAAAATTAGGTAAGTACCCTTAACTACAACAGCTTTAGTTATCTTCCTTTTATACTCACGAAAAGGTGTGGGAGGGGGTGGGGTATGGGGGGGGGGGGGGTTGAAGCGAGGGACCTCATTGTTGTGTTTTATTGTTTTAGATTCTAGATCTAATTGTGTTATATTTTGTGTTAGTGAAGTGCAAAATTTTCTTTTATATTATAGTTTATTCTTATCTTTTATAATTTTAATTTTTGTTTATAATGGTTAGAGGAAAAGGCTGATACTGCATGCTTACCTGTACACTGAGGGGGTTTGCTGGAAATGTTTTCTTTTTCGCAGTTGTTGTTTAGGTTTTGTTTTTTTTTGTTTTGAGAGTGCTAATAATAATAATATCGTTGGTATTTGAAGTGAAGTTTTGTAAACTTTTGTCGAATCAAGTCTCCAAAGGGCTGGCAACAACCCGATTCTATTGTTAACTGTTCGCAGCATGTATTCCTTCCTAGATCTAGTTCAAAACTATATTGAAATAAAGCATTTGACACTACTTTTAGATATTATTGAAGAGGGAGGGAGAATTAATGTTATTAATAATTTGCTTGAAAAGGTCTGTATTTCGGTATCTTTAACCCTAACCTCAACCCTAACCCGAGGAGGTTAAGCGGTTGTTTTTATGACGTGCGTTTCAATATTCACACGTCAGGACCTCAGAAACAGGTCACAAGTGGCGGGGCTTAACTTTTCGCCGAGCATTTTATCGGCGAAGATTATCTGGACAAGATCCTTATTTTCTTTTTTTTTTTGGACTATAGTGGTACAATAGGATTTACTTAAACTTGTACATTATTAACAGATTCGTAAAACAGAACAGGCCATATGGCACAACCACTATTTAAGCTGACGAAATAAGCAATAGCTGATCGATTATATTAGCTTCCCCTCCCCCCTCCCTCTTGTCCCATCGAGTCTTTGTGGTGACAAAAAGTAAACACTTGCAAGCTAAAGCCACTTAGTTTCATTCTGCTTTCTTTTTAGATTTTTCTCCTTCTCCTTGTCCTACAGCCCCCCCCCCCTCCCCCACTCACCATCATCTGCCATCAGACTGGTCCCACTGTCCACACAAAATGGACACGCGTGCGATTTGTTCTCACTTTTAAGTATGACAGACGTCAAGCCGATCTGGCGAGATTGATGAAAAAGATGATCGCGAGAAGAAAACACTTATGGAACTTTCGCGGAGGCGGTTTAAGCAGTTTGTCTCTCGTCGCTTTAACTGTCAGGGCTATTTTTCTCCCTTGCTTGCCGACTCAAGGATTAGTCCTGCTTGCCGACCCAAAGATTAGTCCTGCTTTGTTTTCCCCCTACTGTACAAGTAAATTATTTTTCACGCAAGTTATGACTCTTTGTTACGTCAAAGAAATATTATTTTTTGAGTCTGCATTACGACAATGAAACGTCCCTTTTGTGACGAGTATTCGTGGTCTCCAGAAACAAAACATTTTAATTTTTTCTTTTCGAAATGCATTTGAAATTAAGTTTGGAATGAATATGCTATTATTTATAAATGTTTCTAAAACACTACCAATTAAATAGGCTAATGCATTAATACAATTTCTAGAAAATACTTCTACAAAACTGTTATAAATAACGAGAACTTAGTGTTTAAAAATTTAAATAATTAACAAAGCAGTTTTAGTTTATCAAAATTAGTTATTAAAAAAAAAACATGTAACGCCTACAAAAGGCCAAAGAAGAAAATTTACGGTACACTAATCCTTACTAGTCCCCGTTATTATAAGAATCAAACACCATTGTTTGTAACTAATTTACTTCATGCCGTCCTAAGACCACAAGAAGCTTTGTCCCTCCCTTTTCCCCGCGCCATCCAAGAGCCTTTGTTACTGGGAAAAGCCGATCGACTCCGTTACCTGCAGTCACAGATTGCTCAAAGAACTCTACATACGAGAAAGCAATTAAGGGCAACAAGCTTAAGATTCGCAACAAGACGTGCTTGTCCGTTACTAATAGCATTGGGAAGAATTAGGTCGGCAGCCTCATCGTTGTTGGATCCGTCCGGTGTTTTCACATTGTGACGTTACCTATTTGATTGATGGGGTCTGAGGCCAGGCCTCACGACTAACAATGGCTGACGTTAGAATTCGTATAGTTGGGGATATTTTTTAATGATTTAAACATACCCGATTCAATGGTGTTGTGGTGTTGTTTTTTCTTTTACTAAATAATTCAAAATAAAAAAAACACACCAAAAACAATATATATATATATATATATATATATATATATATATATATATATATATATATATATATATATATATATATATATATACATATATCGGTAGTAAGGGATCGTGCACATATAACTCAAAATTAAAACACAATCTACGTACGCAGTGTAACGTTACCAAATATTTCATTATACATTTCTGTTTATTTTTGTGTATTTAGTTTATATTCTATTCTGAATGTAATCTATGCTCACCCATATTGCTGTTTGGTTTGTCGTATTGGTAGCTCATTTTCGATTTGCTCTTTCGTTGGTCAATTCTCTTCGCGTCCAGTTAGGCAACAAAAAAGATTACACCTGGTCCTGTTAAACTGAACCGAAGCTAATACTTGATCAATATTAAAATGTGGACCGTAGGCTGTTCTTAAAAAACATAAATCTAACATCTCTTTATCTTCTTTGTTTGTTATCCACTGTACCTCTGTATGTTTTTCTATGACACCCCATACATCTCCATGTTCATCTGTTATCTCTATGTTTGTTGTTATCTATGTTTTTTTTATGATTAACCTTCACCGTCTCTGTATCTTGCGTGTATCGTACACGTTGTATGATTCCGAAGAAAGAAAGTTTACCGCCCCCCTTCCCCCCGAATGAGATGGAATTTATATAGAACATATATACTTTTACCACTGTCCGGCCCCCCCCCCCCCCCCCCCCCCAGGAACAAATAGTCTGTCCCCTCAAAAATATCACGTTCAAACCTTGAGATGATTCTAAGAAGACACAATATTAAAAATACATTGACAGGAAAAGCTAACAATACGAAAATAGTTTTTCCTTTTCCATCGCATTTTCTCGTTCTCGACGAACTGTGTTTCACTAATGTATGAATGTATTTTGACCCTTTCCACCCATTCCGTTATATAAACGAGCCCAATTTAATTTCTGTTAAATATGCAAACTAGCTGTTGTATTAAGGCGGTTTTCTTTGTCTGGTAAGTTGAGCACTAAATTATAAGTTGATTAAAAAAAGAAACTGAGATACGCAATTAATTAAAAATTTATTTCAAATGTCTGCAAATGTAACAGCTGGCTGGAGATCCAGGCTAAGAAAGTGAGACGAAAACAGAATGTAGAGACAAAGTCTTGTATCACTCCAAGCTGTCCCACTCTTTCTCTGCGACATAACCGGAGATAGCTATCACACTAATGACCCAGCCGTCCTGTAGCTGTCTCACGTATGATACACTCGTTCTTTATCTGTCTCACTAATGACATAACCTTTGATACACTCGTTCTTTATCTGTCTCACTAATGACATAACCTTTGATACACTCGTTCTTTATCTGTCTCACTAATGACATAACCTTTGATACACTCGTTCTTTATCTGTCTCACTAATGACATAACCTGTCTCTCCTTCTCACCAAACAATACATTTCTATCGTTTGTATATTCACATTTTAATCCAACAGCAAAATCTATAAACACAATTTATAAGAAACAAAAAAGAAATATATATTTATATATAAGTATATCAGGTTATTCTTTTTTACATCACACTTTTGAGACAGGTAAATGATTTTAAAACAAACATTGTACATTAACATCAATTAAATAAGTTTGTGGCCGAGAAGTCCCGAAGAGTAAACAAAGCCCTGCCTCGGATAGGCAAAACAAAATGATCTAACAGTCCAGCTTACAACATAAACTTGCTGCTAAACTAGTGTAGTGGTTCTAAGGCTATAACCTTAGGCAACAATATGCTTGAATTGGTTATCCTTCCAGTTGCAGCTTACGTACATATATAAAAACCTCATTAAGAAAGACATTTAAAAAAGGTTTCAAGTGTGTCAATGTGTTATTGGGTCTTTTGTGAATATTTATAGTTGCGTGTTATATATGTTAAGTTGTTAACCCCAGCATGTTTAAAACTGAAAACGGAGCCTATGCTAATGTATTGTGCCCTCCGTACTTAACGTTTTTAAATACTTGGTCTATAGCCGCAACGACAGACAGTAGACAGTTTAAAACAAGAATTTCAAACAAAAATAATCTTGGACTTTGAGATAACATGAATCAAATTATATTATAAAACACATATCTTCAAATAGGAGGGTTAGTAAGATAAAAGTATTAAATATGCCAGTGTTGGTCATGTTTCATGTTTCATGTTATCATTTATTATATGATATCGATTAAGTCCTGAATTTTATGGTGCTTGCATCGTTTCTCTAGTATGTAGTGTCTCTCCTCCTTTCAAATTTTATACACACATCTCTCGGTCATATGTTACAGCCAATTTTTACTTGGTCCATTCTTAGAGTCAATGTTGGACTTTTAAGAACATATACAAGTGTCATTCATTGTCAGTTTACTAATATTATTTACACTTCATAAACTCATAAACATGAGTGTTGTCACCTTTTGTTAATTTTAAAATATCCGTTGTTATAGAGCTATTCTATATGTAGATCTATAGTCCGTATAGTGGAGACGAGAGTTTAATTGAAGGTTTCATCTTGGTGAGATGGCTGTTTCCTTGAGTGAAAATACGTCTCGTCTTCCTGTCAGCAGTCCACATGAAAAGTTCTGCAGGGCATCGTGGGCTTCTGGAGAAGGGAGATAAGGCGGGAAAATTATTTCATAATCTCCTAATATCCTAGTTCTTTTATCAGCTCCAAATATCCTAATGTATGGGATCGATATTGATTGCTAGATAATTCAACATCATACAAAATATGGGCAATCTAAGGTATTATTTTAAATGTTAGGTTAAACAAAGTAAACTTTGCTTATTTAATGTGTCGTTCTTTTTTGTTTTGAAAAGGAAATGAAAATGATTTTTACCTTTCAGTTTTTGTTGCAATGAAAATCTTATTTTCCTTTCCTGTTCCAGCTCAGTGGTCAAGGTTTCTGAAATTAATTTAAAAAAAGCTATATACCCTATGTAAACGAACCAACATAGATCTCTATGTAAGCTCACTAATCATGACCAGTTCATAAATAAAACTAAGCCAACATTGTCGCGTGAGTCGCCAAAGCAGTCTCCATCCCCACTCACCCACTTCTTCTATTTTGTGCCTTACGCTATATTTTTGTGCTTTACGCTATATTTTTGTGCTTTACGGTATATTTTTGTGCTTTACGCTATATTTTTGTGCTTTACGCTATATTTTTGTGCTTTACGCTATATTTTTGTGCTTTACACTATATTTTTGTGCTTTACGCTATATTTTTGTGCTTTACACTATATTTTTGTGTACAAACCTCGTAACATCTCCAACTGCTGGGCCATGTGTTCACGGAATGCTTTCTCTCGGTTGACGTCATCACGGAAGTTTTCTGATGAACAGAGATTGTTACATTAGTTTAATAGACAAGATGCTTTCATTGTATGAGTTGGATATCTTAGTTATAACGGGCATAGATTGGCTGCATAGGTTTTGTGTTAGATATCTAAGTTGTTGTAATTACATGCACTGCACTTTTTTCACTCAATAAGTTGAATAGTTTTGCTGTATTGAATATGTTAAGTGGTTAGGTCAACTAGCTTTATTGTATTCATTAGTTTAACTCGTGGCTGCTAACCCCCAATTCCCGGGCAGATGGGGCTCGTTAGCTGAGGACAGCAACCCATCTAGGAGAGAAAACTCCCAAATCACTCTAATGGAGGCTTTTAAGCGATAAGATAACCAACATTTGTTTGCGTTCAACGGCTTCAGCAACCGAATTTGGTACAAAACGTAAAAGCTTATCATTCCTTTGGACGTTCGAAAGATGGATCACAATGAATTAGCAACCCGTGAACTTTAACGTCTCATTCCTGACATGCCCCCCCCCCCTCCCTCCAGGATTCCACTTCTATGATACAGAACTTTGTAGAGGAAAATGTTTACCTTTTGAAGTGTCTCCTACATGTTTCGGGTTCTCCGTCTCTGTTTCTGATTCATCTGTGGATGACACATGTGTCAACAGTTCATTTAATCTTCAATAGATTTATGAAGGCAGTAGGTCGTTGGCTTGGCGTATCAAAGCCTTACGATTAATAGAGTTGGGAGTTTAATGGTTGGTAAGATTTTTGTATTAAGATATACATTAGGTGACATGATTTTAGAGTCATTAGGTCAGCAGATTATGTGATTGGGGGGAAAGGGGTCATTTTGAAGGATATTAGAGGAATGCTAATGTTAATAATTTTGGAGTAAGTAGGTCAATAATCATTATCCTTATAGGGCTGGTAAGTAGGTCACCAACCAGTTATACGGCTCAATAAAATCTTTATGAGCCATAGAACTGCCCTATTAAGAAAGAGAGGTAGCTTTGTAAACACGTATTTTTTGTGTTAAAGGCTATATAGTCAGCAGTTAATAAAGTGAGAAAACTAAATGATTTTAAAATTTTAAATACTATGATAAACTATTATAGTTTCCCTCATTCGTGTGTGTTTGATTGTCATCGCAGTTGAATTAAAATATTCAAATCGTAGAAAAAGTAAAAGAAAACACTAATTTAATGTATTGGATTTCAAAGAAAGAAGAATATTGCAAGCCTTGAGTGCGAGTGCTGCAACTTACCTGAGAGTCCCGAGTCTTGACCAGGAAGCTCAGTGGTCTCAGAGGTACCGCGTTTCTGGCATTCGTCATCGCTGGAGGCGGATCCAGGTCGGCTTGGAGATACACACTGTAAATTATATTTATTGTTAGTTTGTAAATATAGTCAAACATAGTAATGCCGACTGTAAACTATTTTTTTTTTGTAGTCTAGTATAAGTACATATCAAAATAAAATTGACCATATGTATAATGTCAAAGAAAATTTAAATGTAAGTAACATGAACGTGTTTTTGCCTAGCCTGCACATTTAAAAATACTTGACGCTCACAGAGAACCTGATCTATTATTCTACTATTCTGTGTAAGATTTACGTTTGACATTTATTACAAATAGCATGATAAAATAATTTATCCATTTAAAGTAGATGTACATTTATATTTATTTTCCATGACGCATTGGTGGATGGCACCCGACTCACCTTAACTCTCGGACCTTTCTTATCCCCTTCATCACAATTTTCCATAGAGGATGCACGCTCTGAACTGTGAGAGTGTCTGGAACTATCAAAATCGTTGTCCTGTTCTTTTTTCCCCTCGTAATGACTTTTGATATTATCATCTTCTGGGTCGTCTGCGGTTTTGCGTTTCCTTTCGTCGGCGTCCTCTTCAACGTCGATCTCTTCGGAATCCTCAATGTCTTTGTGCGTGGTTAGGTCCTGGGCACACAGACTGTTGTCTTCATCGTCCGAGTTGTCTCTGTGGAAGTCGTTCTGGGCGTGTCCATCGTTTTCTATGTTGGGACTGAGGTGAGGAGACAGCGAGGATGAAGACGGCGATGAGGATGTTGGAACAACGCGTTTGAATGCTGACATGCGATCTCGCATCTTTTCCCTGCGCTCGTAGTTTTGTTTGATGAGGTTTTGGGGAAGACCATGAGGCGATGTTGCACAGGGGTTGTGCTCTCCGTGTGGGGAAAGGTGTTCAGAGCTTTCCATAAGTGTTGGCGCCACTGACGTATGTGCAGCTGCGGTCCCAGCAAGATTGGGGGCATGGTAACCCCCGTTTCTAAAACCCAGTGCATTTGGAGGGAACCCGAAAGCTTTGTCCCAAAATAAGTCCATCGATGATAGTGGGAAATGTGGGTTGGATCGACCCACCCAAGTGTTGGGGGCCATGGGAGTGGATTTTAGCCTATCGGCCATGAGATCTTTATTTGGGGGAGGTTGCTGGGGGAATCCAAAACACATAGACTGTGACGTGTTCATTGCCATGAAAGGATAAGGGGGTTTTCCTGGTGCACTAGCTGCAATCCAGTTATACGGGTTAAAAGGGTTTGGGAATGGCGGTGGTTTTGGGAGGTAGGGGTTTGTTTCTATTGTTGGCACCATTTTGGTTTTCTTGGCCGCACTTCCCCCATCGGACTCACGACTGTGGGATCGTCCCGAATACGTGATGGTCGTGTGGTTTGAGGACGACACGGACGAAGATGGAAGCGTGGATGGAGAAGATGAGGAAGCAGAGGAGTGAGTGAAGACCCGTTTTCTTGTTCCGCCATTGAACATAGCCTTGACGTCCTCCCATTTGTAGGCGATCTCCTCGTTGTCGTGGCCCGTGTAGAGCTTGAGGTGCCGGCGCCACGAGTTGAAGTTGGCGGCGTCGGGATGGTTGTACTTGGACTCCGGGGTCCGGTGAAAGTGAAAGATGAATTTGTTGGGTGAGAAGTACATGTTGCAGTAGGTGCACTTGATGCACTTGGCCCGGGAACTGTTATACCGCGAAGGTTCAAAGAAACCTAAACATACAATAAAAAGAATGATAAACTGCACATTTCCACAATGTTTTGTATAACATTGGTTTTACATATTTTTCGACTTATAACTAAAAACTATAAGGTTTATTTATGGAATTATTTGAACTAGGCATACTTCACTGTCTAGTGAAGTCATAGATGCGTTTTCTGTGTAAAATGTGTGTACCTCTGCATCCCCAGCCACATTCGTGGTGAACGTCAAAGGCGAAGTCTTCTGGAAGTTTGGGAGGGGTGTTCTCTTCTAGAAAACTTTTCACCAGTCTCTCCGCCTCTCTCTTCGTTATCATACCACACCTTCTGGAGGACACGGGCATCGCCCCTGCACGTCTCAAAATTTCCAACTGGAAACAGAGCAAATTTTTATACAACATATATATATATATATATATATATATATATATATATATATATATATATATATATATATTATATATAAAGAGGAAGAGCGTTTATATAAATGGATGTATCCGATTACTTACTTGAACAGGTGTACACTGGACACACGTGATCCCTAAAGCCACACGTCTGTTATGTATCTCGTTATAGCTGTAGTCTTTGAGAAGCGTGTTGGAGATCTGAGCCAAACAAAGTCTCTCCTGTGTCCATCAGAGGCGGATCAGTAGAAAACAACGATTAATACCACGATGACGAAAGTAGAATTGTAAAAAGGACAAGAAGAGTAGCAGAGTAGGAAGAGGAAATGTCACTTTCCCTAAGTTGAGTGCACGCTAAATAATATAACCATAGTATTGTAAAAGTCTAAAGCAGTAGTTTTTAGAAGTTTTTAAACTAGCAAAATAGATACACAGATAACAAAATACACTGAACTAGACAAACTCTGAACTAGGCATGACATGGACACAGTAGGAAACTCAGACACGTCAATGACATGTATGAGTTTTTACATGACACAGACACACGACACAGAATGACCATAACTGGACGGACACAACATGTAGTGGAGTAAATAACTTGAACTCACCCTATCCTCACTAACCTTATTGTCAATGACTAGTGACACTATGGCTACGCCGTGAAGCATGATGGTGCCAACTTGGTTCTGTCGGCCGCTGCTGTTACTTTTGCTGCCGCTGCTGCTGCTGCTGGCGTTTGTGGTGTTGGTGCTGTTGGGAGTCATCGCTCCCCCTCCACGGGGGGAACAGTCGCTCATTGCGCTGTTACTGTTCTCGTTGTCAGAGGCAGTGGTGGAAAAACCCATGTAGCCGGTAGGGTTACCAAGCAGGCTGCTACTGTTGAGAATGCTGTTATGGGTGTGAGCGGCTGGAGGTGAAGGCCATTGCCCGATAGGTGATCGGCATGCCACACCCATCCCCCCGGCCAGACAACTGTCAATGGCCGGTGTATCCATGAAGACTGAAGAAGTGAAATTCAAACATTTGTTATACATTTTTCTTGTTATTTCATTACTTTAAAAGAAACATTGCATTTGTTAATGAATTAGTGAAGCACAATTAACTTCCTTTGTTAAATATGTGTGTGTGTGTGTGTGTGTGTGTGTGTGTGTGTGTGTGAAGGGGGTGGGGGTGGGGGGTGGAGAGAGACATGTTCATAAATGACCTCACTCAATTACAGCCAATTACAAAATTACAGCGCAACCTTATCTTTCTTCATATGGTCATAAGAAAACATTTACACAGCTAAAATTCCAAGCTTTTGTCTTACTATAACTGTATGGACAACGACATTTTTAAAAAAAATTTAGAATTTGAATTTAGAAAATAAAATAATGGCTGACACAATTCATTTTACATGGTAAAAAACGTCTGGTAACCCTAGATGTGTGATGAATATATTTCAAATTGATAGGAATTATTCACCTTAAATTCAAAGTAATACGTCGCAAATGACGTATGTAGTTCGGTCATGAGTTTGAACCAAATTGTACACAGAATCTGATCACATTGCGATAAATTCTTACATCTCTGTCAACTCCCATCACCCACTAGCTATGTCAACATAGTAACTCAGTTACTCAATATTTTAATGAACTTTTTGATGCACTTCGTAGAGGGCCCCCACAACTCACGTTAAGCAAAGTACAGCGTCTTGGCATAGAGATCTGACCAAATTATATTTAAGTGTACGGAGGTAACAGAAACAGGCGAAATCTATTTCCTTTCCCTTATTTACCATCAGGTCCTAAAAGATAACTTTTTACTTTTTAAAACTACTTTTACAATTGATTGGGGTAACTAATTGACAATATAAATCATCATGATTTTACGTTGAGCGTCTTGGTTGCGCTTTTGGTTCATGTCCGCATCCACGCATTAGCTTAAAAAATAATCAAATAATCGTTTAAACGTAACGTTGTATGCGTAGGTTGTAACGTAGGTTATTTAAAATGACACAGTTGATAAAGGTCACACTGCAAGTGCAATAAGTAAACTAAGGCTTCTAGGCGGATATGACACATAAGATCTGTGATATGACAAATAAGGTCAAGTATGTGGTACAAAAGGTCTGTGATATGACACATATGGTCATTCAGATGGTACATTTTGGTCTGGGATTGAAGCCTAGGATAGTTAAATAAGGTTAAGTATAAGGCACATAAAGCCCGTGTATGACTATAAGAAGTCTAGGTACATAAGGTCTGTGATAGGATACAGTATGTGTAGGATAGATACATAAGGTCTTTGGTGCTTAAGGTCTGATGTAGGCACATAACATCTTCGATACGATACCTACGTTTTTTTATCGCACATACGTTATGGAATAGGTACATAAGGTCTAGTTTAAATGCAAAGTTATGTGATATCATGTATAAGGTCTTTTATATGGTATTCAGTAAGAAAAGCAATTACAATAACATTTAAAGTAACAATAGTTGATCTATACCCGTCAGCACCATTATTCCTCCCCTCCCCTACCCTACCCTACTCTACCCTACCCTACTCTACTCTACCCTACCCTACCCTGCCCTACCCTACCCTACCCTACCCTACCCTACCCTACCCTACCCTACCCTACCACCCTACCCTACCCGGTGAGTAGTGCTGTTTCATGCGGTTTGTAAATGGCATTAAGTGAAATTAAAATGCATTTTTCAATATAGCGATCAATGCTTTTCTTTTTTCTGTTTAGTTATTTTAAATGTTGTTATATATTTATTAATTTTATAAAGTTAAGGAAGCCGAAAGTGCTTTTCTATTATAAAATAGACCTAGTAATTTTCTATAACTTCATAACTTTTGTCCTAGACATCTGTATGTGTAATCAAATTGACCTTTATTTAATAACTTTAATCGTATTTAACCAACTCAATTTTTACCAATGTATAGAATTGTTGTAACTGATTTTTTTTTTAACACGGTAGAAGATAAAATCAGAGAGAAAAACTGTGACATAGTCTCGATAAAAATCTAAAAAAAAACCCACTAATTTTTCTCAGACATAGATCTAATAGCAAATGTAAATACGCTTGTCGCAAAATGAATTTAGAAGATAACTAAAGCGGCCAACGCTTTTAAAATGTCCCTAAGGAAATTATTTTGTAAAGGTTTATTGATATGTTATTATAAAGGTTTTTTAACACATACTTTTTCTTGTTTGTGGGCCTGTTTAGATATTTTTAAAATCAAACAGTTCATATTTCTATTATCAACAGTTAAAAAGTTTCCCTTTCAAACCTGACGGCATATGGGGCAAGTGAAGTAGAGTTGTTTATCAACAGTTAATTGTATATTTATTATTATTCTCCGGCTCATCTTTCTTAAATCTACAACCCTCATAAGATCAGCTTTCAGTCAGATTGACAATGTCGCTATTATTCCCTTAAAGTTATAGAATAATTCATTCTACATGAGTTTAATCTGCCCATTTTTACCGTCTCTTTAGCATAAATATAAGTAAACAGCTCAATAGAAAATATATTAATCTTTAAATTATTTTTATGACAAATATAAATTTGTATGGTGTTATCTACAAAGTTTGAAATAAATCGCTTTATTTGAAAAGGGGGCGAAATTAAGTTTAAAATATTATACCACAAACATCCGCTAACAGATAGACATTGTGACCTCAATCATCTCAGTAATTTACAGTTTATAATTGATTTTTAAATCAACAAGAAAACCAAATAGTAAGCATTTTAAATTAAATTTTAATTACTTTCGATGAATCAAACATCGGTTAAATTTCACATTATTTTATAATTTTTCATTTATTTTAACCTTGTATAAAAGTAGTTTAAGCTTATATTTTGATGGTTAAAATGCAAATCAATCATTTACATTTTTGATTATCTAATAAACCATATTTTTTTCAAGTTAACGATTTAGTACAGTTATTGTAAATGTAAGTATTATTGTAAATGAAGTGTTAATGTTGTTTTGTAAAGACCTATTTTGTAGAAATTATTTAAAAAGGAAAATGTATGCTACTGTAACGTAAGTTGTAACTACTGATATTTTTAAGATATCTGCTATAAATGTTGTCCGAGACAACAACTAAAGCTCAGGAATATTGTGATTAATTTATGGACTTTCATGCTATGGAGACGGTCAAGTTGTTTAGTAATAATGACTTCAAGTTGCAAAGGACTACTTGTCCTTGGATGGCACACTGGTGGAGTGAATAATTGATAAAGCAATAAATTACTTGTTAAAATTTGACCAGCAATATCAACTGGTTTAATTGACACTTTTAAAAATAAATAATGAACCTAAATAAATATGAGCTGTATTGATTTAGAAAATAACGTTAACCCTGTCATTAACAATATCGACGCCCGACTATTCTTAGCTCTTATAGTATTTGTTAAACAAAATATTTGATGACCAAAAAGTTTAGTTTAAACTTTGTTTATCTGACCACTCAAGTAAGCTTAAACGAATTAAAATCTCATACATTGAACTTATTTATGCACAAAACTTACTGAATAAAAATACCGATATCATAACTGCTAATTTACATGTAAACACTAATTTAAAAAATCGGAAAAAAATCTACTTACATTCATGTCCACAAACATTTACTCAAGTTATATAATCTCTAAAACCAAATCCGTTTATTGTTTTGTTTAGTATAGTTTTACTTACGAGCAGAATGTCCTACGTCCTACGACGTTAGTCTAAAGTTAAATAAACCCATAGCCCCGCGCCCCGCGCTCTGCCCGCTTACAAATATCGATGTTTGAACCGGCACTTCCAGAAAGTTCGAAATATTAATCAAGACCTTTAAACATTCGCTACTTCTGCGGTAATTCACTGTGGGGGGAAATATGACGTCACAATACGACGCGCGCGATGTTTGTGTCTGCCGCCACGAGTCGTTTGCTGTGAATCGCAGGCGGCACTGATGTCTTCGTAGGTTTGTTGTTATCCGCAGGGTTGTCGTCTCCACCCCCCTCCCCCATCCCGCTTGATAAAAAATGCCAACATAAGAAGTTAACGGCGGTAATGTAAAGACCAGTGATTTTTTTACCAAGCTGGGCATTTATGGCATTTATTTAAACATTTAATACAGTTTATTTGGTGCTGGGTATTGACAGACTTTCCATGATTAATTATAATAAATCGGCGATTGGAGCGGATTATGGAAATGTGGATGGTATAAGATTATTGAATACTAATTGAGCCAAATAAGGTCTCTTCTCTTGGTGTTAAGGAAGCGGTTTTAGAAGAACTATTATTGCATCATTGTCCTATTTATGCCCTCTCAGGATGCGCGGTAAACGAATGCGTGACATGACTATAAAATGTTAAAAGACAATAAACATAAAATAAGTTCCTGTAAAAGAATTTACCGCTATTCTATGCATGTAACCAATGGCTTTCTAAAAATGTGCGTGGGTGTACATATCATGTTTGTTTCACATACACATACACGTGCATACGCAGACACACTAATACACCCACACACACACACAAACACAAAAACACACATACTTATATATATATATATATATATATATATATATATATATATATATATATATATATATATATATATATATATATATATGTATATATATATGCGTGCATTTTTCAAAATAAATGTTGATCATATTGTATTTACTATTCATTTATTTAGTTATTAAATTCGGTAGTTTAGAATTACTTCGACAATATTGGACAATAAATAAAATAACATCGAAGATGTATTATGGTGACGCAGAGAAGAGTCGCTAACAACAAATAATGAGTTAGCGATATCACCGACCATAGTTTGCGAAACGTCAAGTGAATGCGCGCGCAGCTGTCAATTGCCCGATGAGAGACGCGCACATCACTTTTTCACTGCTTGCGGCAGACGAATTTTCTGCTTCTGGAATGTTTTGGAATTTTCTACAAGATTGTCTGCTGTGTTTGTCGTGACTTCCTGTTGAGTTCTTTCTTTATGGTATTTTT